CATAGAAACCTATACAGATTCATTCATACATTCAAACATATATACATGCAGGCATACATACATACATACAAAGAAAAAACTTACATACATTTATACACAAATACTTACATACATACATAATTACATACTTACATATATTCATAGATACATATGTAAATACAAACATACCTTCAATTTTGCGTTGATTTATAAATACATACTTTCATCCATACATATAAGCATACATGTATACATACATTCATACATACATATTTGCATACATACGTACATACTTACATACACACAAAAATTTAAACATACATACAAAATTTCATACAGACATACAAATATACATACATTCAAAAATACAAACAAACATATATTCATAGATACAATCGTTTATAGATACATACCTTCGTTTTTCCCTATATACATACATACAATTATTCATCCATACATCCATTCCTACATTCATACATAGATACATACATAAGTAAATAAATACATACATACATACATGCATGCATACAAACATACATACATAATTACACACACATACATAACTACATACATACATACATACATGCATACATACAGAAATTCATATATACTTACATATATATTTATTTATATACATACTTACATACATACATACATATATACATACATACATACATACATACATACATACATACATACATACATACATACATACATGCATATATACATACATACAAATATACATACACACATACATACACACATACATAGATACATACATACATATATACATACATACATGCATACATACATACATACATACATACATACATACATACATACATACATACATACATACATACATACATACATACATACATACATACATACATACATACATACATACCTACTTGCATATATAGATACAATCCTACATTCATAATTACATGCATAAATAGATTTAAAAATAATACATACACACTTCTGCCAAAAACAGTCGAAGTTTGTGTTTCAGTCATTTTTCTATTCGTTTTTTTTTGGGTCGAAAAATCCTCTGTCGATTGTTTTCTCTGCGTCTATTACTTTGAAGAATTTTTCTCCACTAATTTTTCCTGATCGCTGTTAATTTTTCTTCGAACGCGGTTAACTTTACCCTTTGGTCGCAACGATCGCGTCGCGGGCACATTGCTTCTGTTAGAAAAATCCCGAATTACTCATTTTGGTCGGGACAGTCTGGAAATACCAAATTTTTGCCGCGACCGTCTGATCATAAAACCAAAATCTCGACCCGGGTATTTTGGCGCCGAAACGGAAACGTCACACACCCCGACCCTTAAATCCACCCCTGAACTAAAAAATTAGGCAGAAAAAATGCACAAGATCACATTGCGGCATTTACAAGACATTTGTATTTTCAGAGACAATTTTTTTATAACGTTATAACCAAAAAATTTTCTCGCCAAACTCTCATGAATGATTATTTTCTCTCGACCGGACGTGGAAAAAAACTCAAACAACTTTCCGTTACTTCGAAATACTCGTTCAGACATTAGATTTTTTAACTCAGTTTACTCAAAACGAAACTTTTTGGTCGAGACGGTCGAAACATACCGAACTTTGGTCCAAATGGTCAAAACATAACAGTTTTTGGCCGAGACAGTCGACCCGGGAACATTGATTGCATCTCAGGGCAAAGCCTTTAATGTTCCGACTGCCCCTTAATCCATATCGAATAATTTTTGGGAGAAGAAAATACTGAAAAATTATATTTTTTGGACAAAATCAAAGATCAATTGTAAAACTTTGAGTCGTACGAAAATATTAGGACCGATTAACTAGCCTTAATTCGTTTGGAAACGATTTTGTTGGGTCAGATAGTTCGCCATTCATAAACAGTTTGTGTTACGCTTTCAGCATTACGCGCACTGACAAAAAAGAATAAGGATCGATTCTTCTATAAAAAAGAATGTAAATTTAGTTGAGATTGATTTTATTGAGAAAAAAAGTAGGAAGATTAAATAGAAAAGGTTAAGATTGATTTAGATTAGTTTTAAACTGATTAAAAACTATTCAAAAATCCCAAACAAAAATTAATCTAAATCAATTTTAAAGTGATTTACATCAATTTTTCTTAGATCTTAAATTGTTTTTGTTTTTAGGGAGGTTGAAACAGATTTAAAATGATATAAAAACATCTTTTTTCAATCGAATTTTATCATTTTTGAAATTGAATTACATTTGATAGCATATTGTAGCATAATAAAAAAAGCAAAAAAGGTTTTTGAACATATCTATAATAAACTATGGTTTCTTCGAAAAATGTGTGCTCAAAACTGATCCATTTTAACCATTTTTTTTAGTTTTTCAGGTTTCTGCCAACAATCTGATTTACAATGATGATTTTTTTCAATTTTGTTGCATGATTTTGAGCTCAAAACTGAATTTAAATTAACAAATTTTCGTGATTTGTTTCATAGGTTGTTTCCCAATATCTGATTTACAATGATAATTTTTGATGATTTGTTGCAAACTTTTGCGCTCAAAATTTGATTTATTGTAACCCTTTTCTTGATTTGTTAATTAAGTTTATGCCCATAATCTGTTTTACAATGATGATTTTCTATGAGTTCATTTTATAAATCCGAACTCGAAATCTGATTTTTGTGGACCATTTTGTTGATTTTTATAACATCTAGCACGTCTAATTTTGTCTTAAAAATCGAGAATGAAATATTTCAAATATTTTTTAAATTGCATATTTTTTTCACAGTGGGAGCAAAAAACTGATTTAAATTGATTTGAAATGGATTTTCAAGCGCTTAAATCGATCTGCTCAGGGTCTCTTAAAATGCATTTAAATGGATTTTTGTAAGATTCAGATGAAATCAAGTGCATTTTATTGAGTCCGAAAATCCATCCAAATCATTTTCAATTAATTTTATAGACAAGACAGATCGACTAAATCATATTAAAATCCGTTTCAGCTCCTAAAATTTAAATTTGAATCGTTTTAGAAGAATTTAAAATCGATTTAAAATTAGTTAAACTAATCCGAAACCGTTTTTGTCAGTGAGGGTATGAGTACGAGACTGCTAGTATCAGGGCAAAAATTTGATTGTTCAGACTGTCCATAAATTCGTCTCGAACAATTTTTGGCTACTGAATAATTGACGAAATATGATTTTTCAGCTGAATGTTAAGAATCGTGTATTGAATTCATTAGACTATTTAGCCTGCCTCAATTGAATTTGGACTTTGAAAGTGCGGGATAATTCGCAACGATAATACGCGACGCTTAATTAATGCGCGTCGAACTTTGAAGATCAAAGTATCAAACGCTCACTAATTAGGTTAATTTATCAGTGAGCGTTTCACAACAATCTTTCAGCCAGGATAGTCTAGTGCTGCGCGAGAACCTTCTCGGGCCAATAAAGATCTATGGATTGGTCCCACGAGGAAAATAATTTCGAGAAATGGTTTGAACAAAAGAAAACTACCCCGAGCAATTACATTCCTTACTTTCTGCAAAGGTCGGAACATTTGAGTCCTGTAATTAATTTTTTGAGAGCGTATGCATTTTAACGTGATCTCAAATTTTTAGGCACATTACAGTATTAAAAGAACAGTGAAATCAGGCATAATTGTTTGGTTAATTGGCAATCTGTTGCTTTCATTGTTTTTATTCAACGAGCTGCTAAACAATTTTACTTGAGAAATTTTTGTGAGAAAATTCGATTTGTGTAATCAGAGATAAGTTCAATTTCGTTCAATCAACGTCCAGTTGTTTTTTTGGTCTGCCTAATCTCGAAGAGTGTACAAAATGAATTAGGACTGACTAATTACCCAAGGAAACTTGCCCACTGTAGGGGGTCAAGTGTGGTATCATATAAAAGCCCCAAAGGTTTCAATTCAGATTCTAAATAATTACAAATATTCAAAAACTCAATTTTTTGTTTTTCAGCTAAATTAGACGAAACTGGCCAAAAGGCTGGCCTCTCAATTATAATTCAACCAGAACTTAAGCGCCAAAAAATTTTTTAGAACAAAAATTTTGGTTACTCTTGCTGTTTTCACCCAAATCACTTTAAACATCAATTGCAGGATGATTTTTTGCTTCATTGTTTTTTATCTTAGAACTTTTATCCCAACTGTTTTTGTTGGAAAACTCTTTGCTTTTTGCAAAGCTCAACTACTGAGTTAATATTTGAGTTAATTAAAATTGTTTTACAAAATGGTTGTTCCAACTTTCGTAGGAAAAAGCATTTTTATGCTTGGGCTGATTTTTCTTTTTTCGACTTCTTAACTGAAAAATGTTGACAAAATTTTCACCTACTTTTGATCATCTTTAAAACGCTAAGAACTTGGAGAGAGATGGGTGCTTTGTTGACACGAGTTCGTTGAAGATGATTTTTCATACCTTCAATGCAATACGAAATTCTCCAATTTTCACCCGATTAAACTCGTTTCAATCACTAATGTCAAATTTTGGTTTGATGCGTCAATTTACCCGACAGGGCCAATTTCAGTTGCTTCAATTTTTAACGCTAAATTTCGAAAGTCTTTTGAACTCAGAGGCAAATAATTTGGTCTTATCATAAGGACAGGCGCTAAATACAGGCTGTTTGTAGTTAATGTTAGCGTGTTAGGGAATACTTTGAGGAAAAAATAAAAAATTAATTTTTTTTCGACTATTTCTTCCAAATTTTCAATCAAAAAAATGAATTGGTTTTAAAGTGCAGTCGGAGCATTCAGGACTTCGCCCTGATATACAAGCACTCTTGTTTCCAATTTAATTTGACAATATGAACATATAGGGGCTAGAAGATTCATATAAAAGTTCATATTTAAAAATGAAGCTTCATATAAGAAGATTCATATATAAATTGCTTGCCAAAAATGAGCACTCTGTCTTGCTAATTTGTTCAAAATACTTTCGTGACAATAATTACTGTTGTTGTACACCAGCATCACTCACACCCTCATGTGATGTTTAATTGTTAGAAAAATTATTTTGAGCTTGGAGTTGCGTCACTCTGCGATATTACTTCAGAAGTCTCAGTTAAAAACTGACGTGCATTGACTTATCTCAATTGGCTTTGAGTATAATTTCTTTTATATGGCTAATATTTTAATTACTGGACCAAATTTGTGAAGTAGTTTTTGTCTTTTTATGTAAATGTTTGATGTTTCTCACCCATGGCGAAAAGTGTGGATCCAGAACAACCAGATAATTATGGATACGTTCCCAAAACATCGTTCGACAACTTCACGAGAACCGAGATCAGCTCTTCCCATGATGCCAATGGAGTTTTGTCTCAAAAATTTCCTAAAGTAGCCGACTCCAAGAAGTCCAAATGGGCTCATGTCAAAACTGCTCTCGGCAATTCAGGAGAAGCCCTCATTCCAGAGATTATTGGATCCCAGAATGTGTTCTGGGTTCTATTCTGGGTACTCGCCTACGTCGGTTTGACTACAGTTTTCATTTTTCAAATGTCAACTCTTGTCACAAGTTACCTCGAGTTCAAAGTCGACACCCAAATTTCGATCGTGCGGAACACTGAGTCAACTTTTCCGAGTGTGGTTGTTTGCAACGCGAACCCTGTTCGGAAGAGTATCATTTCCAAGATCACAAAATACCAGGGACTTGGGAATCTGGACGCTTTTGTGACGAGTACCATGTACTCCACTGCTGCGGCTGATATGGGAATGACTTTCTATGTATCCTGTAATGATGGAGAGGTGCAATGTCCTGACTCCGTTAGTCATCAAATTGATCAATACTATCCCGTATAAATAGTTTGCAATCGATTTTATACAGATAATGTGGCAAAAAACTATAAAAAATCGATTTGGAGCGATTCAAAATCGATTAAGTTTGATACAAAAACGTTGCTTGAAAAATCAATTTCAATCAAAACTGAATCGATTTAAGTCTACTTAAAGCCATTTTTTTTGGTTTCATTTACAGACCAATTTTAGTATCAAAAAATTGATTTAATCAATTTTTTATACCAATTTTTTGTGGTATATTCATTTCATACATACTATATACAGATTATGTTCAAATTTATTCGACTATCCAACACAACAAAAAATTGGAAACAAAGTTATAAGGTATGCTTTTCAATTGGATTTCTTAAAATTGCGTGAAAAGAATATTTTGCGTGAAAAAAAACTATGAGTATCAATAAAATGTTAACTTTCTTAACAAAAATGAATTGATTTTAAATGAAATTTCAATTATTTTTTACGCCTGAAACATTCATAATATCAATTAAAATTGATGAAAAGTTGCAGTATGTTACTTTTTTTCCCTCGAAAACCCACAGATGGAAAAAATCGTAAAAAAATTTATAAACTCAATAGTTTGCAGTAAAAGTTCTCCTCGAATGACTCTTGCTCTCTGTATCTCTGATCGAGATTCAGCAAAATTCAAAACAAAGAATTATCAAGTTAGATTAATTTTGTTGAGATGTTGATGGATATAACCACACTGATAAAATCCATTTAAATTGATTCACATCGATGTTTTAGGCAAAAAAATTGTTTCTATTTCTATCGTATCATCTATTTAAATGTAATCTAAATCAACTGGCATATCTAAATGGCTACCCTATTTTTTTCATACAGTATTTCAGTATTTCATCTGTATAGAAATCTGTATAAATCGATTTGAGTCTCAAATTTGTCAGGGGCTTTTGGTTTTTATAACACAATTCTGTTAGTCGCACAAAAATCTAACAAAAGTTGAAAAAGATTGGTCATAATAGAAAACAGTCCTGCAGGCTCTGACAAAAAACTTTTCGGATAGAGAAAATTGAAAATTTTGGGAAATATTGAGCTTTTGGTTGTTAAAATGCTTTATTCTAATTTCAGAAAAGTCCATTAACTGAGCAAACAAACAAAAACTATGGGTAAGAAAAAAAACGCCTTTAAACAGTAAGACAAAAGTGAGTGTTTGGAAGTCATCGATGAGGTTTTTGGCTGCCAGCGTTTGTGCTAAAAAAGAAACACGTTAGTTTAAAGTTTGAAGAAAATACCTAAGAGGACAAAAAGTGTCAAGCAGATTTTAATAAAAATATGGTAAGATTATATAAAAAATTAGTCATGGAAAAAATATGTTTTGCAGCAAGAGGCAGTTTTTTTAAAGTTATAATAGTTTTAATGGTGTTTCAGAAGCTCAGCTGTTACTTTTTCTTGTGAACTTGCAACATGTATACATTAACCCTCATGTTATTTTCAAAAAAATGGTTTGCAACCGAAATTTTACATATTCCCTAATTTCTTTTGAAATTTGGCTGTCTCGTATTAAAGTGGTAATCCCCTCCCCATCTCTGGTTATCTAATTTCCTTTTTAGGTAAATGAATTTGTATTGGTTTTAAGACGAAAAAACTCACACCGCGTGCAAAAATCAAACGTCACTTTTTTTGAAGTTTCGAGCAATTAAAGTCAAGCTCTCGAACATCAATTTTGGTTTAGAGGAGCAGTAGTAAAGTGGTTGGATGTTCGAAGCCCTTCATGATTTGTGCTGGTTGCTTGAGGGTGAGGCAACATTACCCATTCCAAAAAGTAGCCTAACAATCATGTATATCTTAACTAGGGGCAAAACAGCGGTTCTTCGTGAATAGCCAAACAAATTGTATGTGATTACTTTTCCTTGTGGATATTTTGTCTTAATGTTAGTTAAGTCACAAAAAAAAATTCACTTATTCTTTAAATTTTTCGAACTCGATTTTCAGGTATGTATCCCAACTGCGTGGATATGTGATGCTTACACAGACTGCAGCGACGGATGGGATGAAGGCAACACCACTGCAAGTAAAACTCTCAGTTCTATGCCACTCATTTATATTTCTTGTTAACCCAAATATTTGAAAAATGGGGAGGAGCTTTGAATTCATGTGTGTTTTAGTTTTTTCTTTTTTCTTTTTTTTTGTTTTCTACAAAAAATCAGCTACCATATATGATCATCGGAGTCACATTGAGTGATTAACCATATTAAAACCTTTTCCATTGTGATCTGAACAAAATTTAAAAAGTTCGAAAAAAATTTCTGATTTTAAGAAAAACTGTTTGAAATGTTTGATTTTTTAAATCTCAGTGCGAGCGAATAAAGCGAGGGAACAGGCGTGCAGTAGCTTATTTTAATGACTCAAAAGCTTATAATAGCTAAATTTAAACCGTAAAATTTTTGTTTTACTCGAGTAAATTTAATTTTTTTAAAACATTTTAGCGCCTTTTTGGTATCAAAAACTGCAAAATTTCTATTAAACAGCAATAAAAAAGAAAAAATTTTAGATTTTTTTTCCAGTCATTTTTCTAAAACATTGTTTTCCAATTTGCGTAGTTAACTGTGACAGTCGAATATGCCTAAGGTCTACTTTTTTGTTCATATCTTTTAATCACAACGCGACGAAGAAACGTGAAAAATCGGTTATCCTTGTTCAAGTTTAGGACTGATAGTTCCAATCAAGCTACCCCCTCCCCCACTCCCACTCCTCTAGTAACAGGCTGATGTTTGCATATCTTCTGTAATGGCCCTTAATGGTTAGAGTAAGACTGAAGTCTGTCTACCCTAGACAAGGTTTGCTTTTTCTTATCACAAATATTTGTTTAATGCAGTTTAATCAAAAATTTTTCATTCTCTTGCAGACCTCTAATCATTTCCTGATAATTTTTTGATATTAATTTTTTTTCTTATTTGCGAAAAGTCAGCGACACGAAGTGACGAAGAAATTTTAAGAATCATTCATTTGAGATAATTACAAAATTATATTTTAAAGAGGGTTTGAGGTTATTGAACAGAAGAGGTATTCAGACTTAAGAAAAAACTCAAATGAGTGTGATTTTTATGATATATTTTACGAGCTCTTTTATGGTCTATTTGTTCTATCATAAATTTTTATTTCAGTCTCGAGTAGACTGAATTTTTATGTCAAGCCATGAAACTAGAAACAATTACTATGACAGCTCAAACTTGTAACAGGCTGATGTTTACATGTTTTCACAACTCTACAGTTCACGGTGCCCATATTTGGAAGGTTTATCAGCAAAAAAAACAGCACTTTTGAAACCCAAAACTGCCCAAATGTAGAGTAGGAACTGTTTCCGAGTGAAACGAAGTTTGTAACTTTTTAATGAAAAAATTCTAACTCGAGAAAAGGAATGTGTTGAAGCTCCTAGAATGCAACATTGCTGAGTTTTGTAAATTGTTCAGCCCTACAATTTATTTGGATGTGATTTGTAAAAAGGGGAGTTAAACTAACTACACCTAATGGTACAAAAATTTGTACATTTTTTTCCACACAGCGGTTGCTAAAAAGAGTCCTGCTAGTGTAGTTGATAAAAACCATTCAGCATGTAGCCATTTTTAGTGCATTTAGCTTTCGAAGTTTATTAGAAACCAATTCATATCTTTTTGGCCAATACTATTTGGAAAACGTTTATTAGTTTTTTTTATCATCATGATAGATAACCATAAATAGTTCATATTTCAGTGAAACAAGACTTTTTCCATCATAGCAAACTCATTTTAAGCTATCAACATTTCGTTTTTCAAAGAAGCAATTGATTTAAAGCAATCATAAGTCTGTCTTTTGATTGGTGAAATAAAAGCGGACAAAGCGTTTATTTTTATCCATACTAGGTCCTTATGACTGTGCCACTTACTCGCCAAATGGCACCTACGAGCTGTTCAACCCAGATGGCTACTGCAACATAGGTCTCGTTAAATGCGGATCAGATCCCACTTGTGGAGTCCCATGCGATAACAACACAGAATGTGCCGATGGGTTCGACGAGTCGGAGCAGTTGAACTGCACCCAGTATTACACTTGTGGTGGGGACTTGACGGCCACCGGGTCAGACCAGACTTTCGCTTCTGAGAACTACTTGAGTGGGAGCTACCCAGCCGGCAGCCACTGTATTTGGATCATTTCCGCACAAAGTAAACTTAAATAACTTTCAAGACTACCTAAGAGATTTTAAAGCAGAATATTATTCTGAAACCATGAAAGTACATGTAATGAGCAGGGCTAATCTATGATTTTTGCGAGGGAACAATTTTTAAAAAATTGAGAAAATAAGCCAGAATTTTTGGGCAGTTTTTCGAAAACTTGTCAAAAAACTTAAGACGCCGTTATAAATGAGACTTGGTTGGAGGAACCTTTAAATGGTTGGGGTATCAAACGTCTGATGAGAACTTTTTGGGTGAGAACCTTTTAGGACAATTTGTCAAACAGGATTGAGAGATGGTGGTGGCTCTCTATCTTCTCCCTTTTCAATTTTCTACTGCTCTAATTCAAGATTTTGAGAATAAGCTAGCAATCTATTTTAAAGTTTTCTACCTGTAAAGACACGTTTCAGATGTGCTCAAATTTTTTTTCATGCTGATTTGTACTCAGGTGCATCGGATATCGTAGAGTTGACATTCGATAACAACTTTGGTATAGAGGCGAGCAACGACGGCCACTGCGCATACGACTATTTGCAGATTCGAAACGGAGCCACTGAGTCATCACCAGCCTTCTTCTTCAGTTCGGGAAGCAAACTCTGTGGTTATACGGCGCCCCCCAATCCAATTCAGTCAACGGGTCAATACATGCTGCTTCTTTTCCATACGGATAATTCCGTGCAAGATATTGGGTTTAAGATAAGCTACAAATCGGTCACTCCCTCAGCCCGAGCTAGACGTGACCTCTTGACTCGGAATCTAACAATTCCCCCAGCAGATGGGGTTGCTTTTAATCTAGCACTATACCCAGAGCAGGACGATAAGAAAGAGCTGAGGCGCGAACGTCGTTCCAGTGGCTCCGGATATAGCTCGAGCTACCCCTACGGTGGCAGCTCTAGCTACACTTGGGGCAGTGGCAGTGGCACTGGCGGTTATTACGGTTCAACTACTTATGACTCTAATTTCTGGGATAACTACAATTCCTGGTACGATTCCTTTGACCCATATGCTAACTTTGACAATGACGGTCTCTCTGAGTACAATTGGCCCAAAGCCTACGAGCTCTCAGAAGCTCTGGATTATTCCGACCTTCGGCCATTTGCTCTGTTTTCGAATGAGGAAGTTCGCTTCTTCGGAACTCAAGCAAATGATTTTATCGCCCAGTGTACTTTCGATGGCCGGGTCTGCAATGGTGAAAGCTTCCACCAGTTCCAAAATCCGGAGTTCGGAAACTGCTATGTGTTCAACTCTATATTCAACAGTTCGTTTGAAAGCGGTCTTTATTCTACGCTGAGAAACACATCAAAAACCGGCAAGAAATTCGGCTTGAAGCTGACACTGTTCTTGGACAAAGACGAGTATATTGGCGTTTTAAGCCAGAGCTCAGGCGTTCATGTAAGAGTTATTCTCATGACTGTCCAAAACTGTTCCAGTAGTCGATTGCAACATTAATCGTTCTATTTTTTACCTTAAAAATACCCACGTTATCTGTCAGACTTTGTCTAGGTGTTGGTAAATGCCCCCTACGTGCCCCCCATGCCTGACTCTGACTCATGGGTGACGTCTGCAGGAGCTGCCACAATGATATCCGTCAAACAGGAAGTCATTACCCGCAAAGGGGGCAAGTTAGTTCATACAAAGTTTTCATAAAAATATCACAGTAAAAATAAAGTGTTTCGGAGATAATTCAATTATACAGTGCATACTCATACTCATACAATATCTGCCCACTATGATGAATAGACTGAAGACTCTGCTGTTGTCCACTCTCTACTTAATTGATATTGTTTCGTTTTTCCCCGCTTATTCATCCTTGATCAATTTTGTCTAGCTAAATAAGCTAAATTGTCGCCATACTTAAAACGGAACCAGAAAAAATTCCTTCGATCAAGTGATCAAGCTTGATAAACACTGGTTGAAAATGTCAAGTTATTAGAAAAAAAACATCATTTTCATTGCAATTATAATAGATAAGTAAACCTTTATTAAATGCTGCACCCTGATCAGATTACATTGTTTAATTAATGTAAAAGCACGCTCTGCTCGTTCTGATTAAAGCATCTTCTCAATCAGTCTTAAAAGAAACTCGACAGTTTTCAATTGCCGATATAACAACTGTTTTTGACTGAGAAACCGCGCCTTTCCTTGCCACAAATACAAGATCTTGCAAGATAATCTCACTTGATTGGCTAGGGTACACATCGCATAGTTAGTCACGCCGCTTGAAACAAATCTGAGTTGGATCAAATAAAAATTGGATTTTTTTTGTTCGTCGGGAAACATACCCATTTTTGGTCGATAAAGTCAAAAATTTTAAAATTTTTTGGTCGAGAAACTTGATAATGTCAAATTATGCCCAGTTTGGTCGTGAAAGTCGAAACATCTATGCAGGTTCGAAAAAACAAATTTTTAAAAATTGTCGTTTTAGAAAGTCGGGAAACTGAAATATATCGATGTTTGGTCGAGAAACTCGAAACGTATCTATGTGGAGCCGAACAAACTTATTTTCAAATAATTAAAAATGGTCGGTCGAGAAAGTCGAAACGTATCGAATTTGGTCGAGAAAGTCGAAAAACTTCTATGCGGGGTCGAAAAAAAACAAAGTATTAAAAAATGCCGGTCAAGAAAGTCGAGAAAGTCGAAACATATCGAATTTTGGTCGAGAAAATTGTAACATATTTGAACTGAGTTAAACAAAATCGAACACGTTTTTGATGGGTCGTGAAAATTAGAACATAAAAAAGTTTGGTTGAGAAAGTCAAAACATACCGTATACAATAAAAATTGTCGGTCGAGAAAGTCGAGACAGTCGAAATAAATTGAATTTTGGTCGAGAAAGTCGAAAAATATCTGAGGTGGGTCGAAAAAAGTCGATCGCTATTTTTTGTTGAGCCATGAAAGTTGAAAAATACCAAAGTTTGGCCGAGAAAGTCGAAACTTACCAAAATATGACGGAAAAAGTCGAGACCACCAGCTATGAGGCGGGGGGGGGGGGGGGGCGGACGCTCTTTCCCTCAATGGTTCGACTCCCTGCCGACCCAAAGGGTCCCCCTTTGTACTTTTTTCAGATATCTCTTTTTGGTTGACTGACCCTAAAATTTTTCTAAAAGCGCATTCGGCGCCAAAATAGACTAATTTTGAAGGGAGAAAGCACGCGGGGGGATGGTCAAAATTTTTGTAACAAATGCCTAAAAATGCATTTTTGGTCCGTTTTTTTTCCAGAAATTTGTCTACGGTGCAGAAATTTTGGTCAAAACGGGGTCTTTATAGTGCTTTGGGAGGGCTCAGAAAATCAATATTCGGTCGGCCTAAAAAAAGGTCGATAAATTTTTATAATGCTTTTGAATTGCGCCCCCGCTCCTCGAGAAAATCTTAGATCCTCCCCTGGTTGAGACATGCCAGAGTTTGGTCGACAAAGTTGAGACATAAATTGGGAAGACTGCTCGTCACGGTATTTTGTGGTGGGTAACACCATACGCCTTGTTGTTCTAGACATGTCTGTAAAATCAAAATCTCGAACTTTTGCTCGGCTTGTTGCAAACAACCCTTCTTTCGAGCACGTGATTTTGGTATTTTATGCTTCTCAGGCAATACAGACTTTCGATCAGTCAAAAAATTTGTTCGTTCACTTTTTTTTCAATTCACGTTTGACCCACGTCAGCGAACAGTTGAAAATTTAGGCTCTTTTCCAGTTCCCCCCTTTCAAATTTAATTTTGAAAAGCTTATTTAACGTTGTCATAATGCAATGAATTTTGGCGTGGTGAACAAATCGACAACTGTAAACAGATTTGTTCTTCATACTTTACAGCGTAACATCACGCATTTAGCCGCACTAACACGCAAATCAAACATAAAACTCGGTATTTTGAAAAGGGGGGGGGAAGTGGAAAAGAGCCAAAATTTATTCTAGAAAGTATATTTGAACAATCACTTTTAAAAATGCTTCTTTGTTTCAACTAGAAACACGTTGAATAAAAAACTAGCTTGAAAAAAAGGGAAGGAATACTTGAGTTACCATCAAAATTTTGTCTTGATAAAAAGTTTTTGAGTAAAGTAATCCTTATTACCAAGTATGTGAATAAAATGAATCCTTATGACCAATCCATTAATTTCATGAGATCTGACCATCATGAGATCTGACCAATTGACGACCAGGTTTCAGGGCTGGTCGTCAATTCTGAAATAACTGGAAATGCCCCAAACTTGTGGCTTCTTTTAAATCTCATCTGACCATGTCACATTCAGAATTGATCAATCAAATAGTAAAAAGAGTTTCTTTTTGTTTTCATTCAATTTCAAAATATATATATTTTTACTCACCTACCACAAAACAGGTTTCGTTAACATGTTTATGTAAATTTGGTGTCAGGACTATTTGCCCCAAGTCAATTGGCCCTATGCCAACTTTTCCTATACTAACTTGCCCTAAGTGGCATTTTGTCGTATGCCAACTTGCCCCACATGACATTTTGTCCTATGCCGTTTTGTCCCATACTTAACACTTTCACTTGATTCTTTGACGATGGACAAATTGAGGACCAGCAATTGCTAATGTAGACTGGACTCGTTTTGAGATAACAAAAGACTCTAATCGAAAATATTGGCCGCTGAGCCTGAAAAACCAAAATTTTTGGTAATTACACGCCAAACGTTGACAATAATCGACAATTAGCGCCTTTGAAACAAAAGGAAACACGTCTATTGTTTCATTTTGCCTCATTGTTGAACATTTTGTTCTTAAACATCTAACAAAAATACTATCAGTCAAATTACGTGGGGAATATCTCAACGAAACAAACGAACGCTAATTATTGACGAACACGATTTCACAAATAAGCAAACGGCACAAAAACTACTTAGCACTAGAGATGCGCAAGATACAGTTCGCACAAATGCCGCATGCTCGCCGTCACAGCAGGAGATGAACTCGTCTCAACAAAAAATGAGCACAGCAGACGCAACGCAAAAATGAGCAACAAAAAATGAGCAATGTTAGACCTGGAAAAATTGAGGCAAACCAGATCATGCATCAATTGAAAAAAGAGGCCAGGCAGCAAATTGTACCTGTTAAAAGTAGTATAATTGCCACTTGTCTCCAGGAAGTAACTTATGAGAACCCTTAACCGCCAGAAACAGAACTTGGTCCCGTCTCTGCCAATCATTAAAGACAAGCATTTCAAAATTTCGACGGAATAATCTGATTTCTGTTCATTCGACAGTGGAGCTATAAATCCAGAGCGAACTTTAGTTTTCGGTGATCGAGATAATGTTCATGCCCTCCGAGTTCACAATTCTCTTTGGCTTTGGGACGGTACATTCAAATTTTGCCCAATGCAATTTTACCAGCTTTATACCATACATATTCTAATCGGTGGATTTTACCCACCATGCCTTTGTGCTTTACTGCCAAACAAAACTGAACAGACGTATTCAAAATTCCTGAAAGCCATCGCCTCTGTCTCTGATAACGCGCAACCATCGAGGATCCTTCTAGATTTTGAACGATCTGCCGTAAACGCTTTTACAAGTGCGTTTCCAGAGTTTTCATTCAAAGGCTGTTACTTTCACCTCTGCCAGGCCTTTTTACGCAAAATTAACGAGCTAGGTTTAGAGAAAGCCCATGAAAACAAGTGCGAGCTAAGCTTGGCACTGCGTTTAACACCCGCTCTCTGTTTTGTTCCAACTGATTTAGTGGAAGAATCGTTCGAGAGCAGCAATGAGGAGATTGAGCATGTGGTGGACAGATTAAATCTTTAGCAAAGCCTGTCAGATAAAATTGACAAAGTTGCCTCATACTTTCAGAGAAGTTGTTTAAAAGGCAAAACAAAAGGGCGAAACAGCAGGCAACCGATGTTCCCTATGAGTCTCTGGAACCATTCCCAAGAAGCAGCGGAAGGCTTGATACGAACGAAAAACGCCGTTGAAGGTTGGCATCTTGGAGTAGCAGCATTATTTCAAGGGAGCCACCCAAGCCTCTACACTTTCTTCATTAAAATTCAATGGACTCAACAAATCAGAAGTTCAACATTTTGAAGGCTATGGGGGAACACAGAACCAAGGGCGGAAGAAATATCGGGACATTCATGCAAATTATTTCTTGTAATTTCAACAAAGATCATGTTGTTGACTATTTATATGCACAAGCTCATTTAACTCTTTCGTAAGTTTTAAATTGTCGGCATAATTTTCGCTTAATTGTCGGCTTTTTGTTGCATTTTTAATTGATTTTTAAAAAATCACCACTTTTTTTGTAACTTATAGCCATCGTACAGGGTCCAAATTTTGAGAAATGATCAAGGCCAATACTGCAATACTGCAAAAATTTTGCTCTTTTCCTCATCCCGCCCCCTATTCTGGGTTACCCAGTGTAGGGGGGGGGGGGGTTTAGGGGCGAGGCAGTACCTACGATTTTTTGTTTCATTCATTTCATACTAAAATTTTTTGGCTTCTTCAAGTTTTGAGTTTTTGATTAAGAGTATTGTGCACAATTAGCTATGCTATAGAAGCTTACACAATCTGCAATCAGACTTTTGAAATATTTAACTCGACAGAAGTTGCATTGAAATTTTGCCGCTTTCATTTTGTGTCATGCATGCTTTGAACTCATTTTGATTCAGCGCATGTTTTAATGATTCCGCATTTTGTTTCAAGCTTAATTGTTCAACAAAAAAGTCTTTCATAATTATGCCGACATTATGTTCTACGAGGATATCAAAGAAGCTGGGGCAAGTTTCCTTTTTATTATCTGGGACAAGATGGAATTGGACAAGTTGTCATCTGGGGCAAGTTGGAATCGGACAAGTAGGGCTGGGACAAGTTGACTTATGGCAAAATGGCATGTAACCGTAAATTTTACGGGTTAAAAATACTAAACAGATGTGCGCAAATTGATAACAAAGATTAACACAAGGCTGCTCTCATATCAGGGCAAAAATAGACGAGGTAAACGAAATTTTTTTCTTCAAATTTTTCCTCAACACACAATATAAGCTACAAAAGACCGGATTCATCGTCTATCCCCCAAAACGACCAAATATTTTGCCTCTATTCAATTTGGAACCCATTTTTCTACCGCCTACAAGTGTTATCAGCAAAATATCGCGCGTTACTTCTCTCAAATTGGCCGAATTTTCAGCTCAACACCTATAACTTTACAGAAAAAAATCACAGGTACACTTTTTCTAATTTTTAGCGCTAGACATTAAAATCCTTCTTTGAAAGTCAGAACAATCAGATTACCCGAATCGAGGCAAGGCCCCAAGTTACTTTTAAAGTTTTGAAAAAAAAAATCCCAAAAAATTTATACTGAAAAAATCGTTAGGTTTTTCTCTTTTCTTAATGTATATCAGCAAGCCTCATACAAAAAATGAAAGAAATTTTTTTTGGATTTCAACATAGTAGATACCGGGGAGCTACAAGATTTGATTTTTTTAGTCTCTGTGGGCTTAGATTAAATTGACATAATTTTTTTTTGTTTTCAGCATCAAGGATTTCTAATGACTTAAGAGTTTAGACCTGATAGGTAACAAAGATATTACAACCAATTGTTCACCAAAAAATGAAGCAACAATTTCAAAAAGTATTTTGCAGCTTAAGTTTTTGAGCGTTAAAGTTCGCTATTATGTGAAAATTTGTCCATCAATAGTTTTTTTTTGGTTGAAATCTTTTGTTTTAAAAGGAAAAATTGAAAGTAATACAGCTGTAACGACGTGACAAAGACGTTGCAGTTTTTGATTTCAACGAGCAAATGGACAAAGTTTTTGTAAACGTTTTGGTCGTTTTCTCTGCAAATGATTAATATATAGGGTTCAAAATTTGAAAAAGGCTGGATGAAAAAATTTGGAAACATTGGATCGGTTTGTTTCGAATCATAAATTTTGTTTCGAAGCATAAACTAGCCAGTATCTCATAGTTATTTTAGAAGTATTCTTGTTGTTGAAACATCATAAGTTGTTTCAGAAGCGGAGGAACTTGACTAACACCTTAGTTTGCTTAAAAACGACAGATAAATTAAATGAAAAACATACTTGGCCCGATTTTGAAAATTGTCTGAAAATTATAAACAATTTTATGCTGAGTATGTAATATATGTCGACATGAGAATTATTCTGGCAAATAATTCAGAAAAATAACTGTTTCAATCCGCCCACAGAACTTTCATTAGCGATTATGTTATGTCCAATTTTAGTCCAACTAGTCTTGATAAGTTCAGATTTTGTCCAAATTTTGATGTTTGTAATGTATATGGTATCAAATTTGACCTACGACGTCGGTCGCGCCAAGTAACCTTTTCATTTCTGTAATCTATCGTGTTCAGGCGGTATAAATCAAGCGTATCAGCTTTGCAATGAACTAATTTGATCCCAGTAAGTCATACTCTTTATTGTTCCGACTTTCGATACGAAAGTAACGGAATATTTGTGCTCGGGGTGGGGTTTTTTTTTCTTCAGACAAACTTCGACTTTTTAACTAGCCATTTTTGACTAAATTTTTTTAATTCATTCAAAAGGTATTGTTGTCCTGAGCCTAAATTTGAAAAAAAAATTTCACCTGTGATCATTTTTCGTAAAGTTATGGGGGTTTAAAGATTGCCATTTTGGCCAATTTGGGACAATTAACGCGCGATATATTTCGTGATATCAACGCGTAAGCGGAGATTTAATCCGTCTTAGAAATTGTTCCAAAGTGGTTGAAAGAAGCTTATTTGCCTAAATTGATTTGTTACTAGAAGCAAAATTTATTGTTTTGTACATTATATGGCGTGTGGAGGGATGATTTTCATAGAAAAAATTTCAAATTTTAGAAAATAAAAATTTCAAATTTTAGAAAATAAAAATGTTTATTTTATTTCATTTAATTTTTTTATGTTGTTTATGTTATTACTGCTCCATAAACCTTAAATGCAGTCGGAACATTCAGGGCTTTGCCCTGTTACGAGCAGTCTTGTTTTGTTTGCGACTAATTTCCTCGGCAAAAACACCTTTGAGCTAGTTGTGAAATACCGGCTATTTTATGCCTTCGAAACAAGATTTCTCAAAATTTTGCCGAACTAAGTCCTTATAAATAGCCTTTTTAAAGTTTTGATTACTATATCTTAAATAGAGAAAAAAATCGTTCATTTGTTTGTTGAAATCAAAAAGATCTATGAGCCAAGACTGAGCTGTGCATCAAAATGCTTAAGGACGGTCAACTATTTTAAATCATGTCGGCTTGAACAAAGTCGAGCGCTTTCTTTACTATCAAAATTTCCACGAGCTTGACATTTGGATTGGGTCGCACAAAAATGATTGCAATTTTTTAAAATCGATGTTTGTTTGAGCAGGATGAAAAATTTAAATCTGGGTCGGGTTCTACAAACTCCGCAAGAGCATTTTTGTAATCGAAATTTTTTTGCACATGATCGAAACTTTCACATTTGAGTCGAGTCGAACAAAATTAACAGCATATTCTTATAATCGAAGTTTGTTTGAGCACGGGTTCAACAATGTTGAATTCTTTTTCATAATCCATATTTGCTTAAACAGGGACAAAGACTTACATCTGGGTGGGTCGAACGAAATCGAGAGAATTTTTTTAAAATAATCAAAATTTGTTTGCGCAGGGTCAGAATTTTCACATCACGTTGGGTCCACTCGACTGCATTTTTTATATTCATAATTTTGTTGCTTATGGCATAAATTCTCACACTTCAATCGAGTCGAACAAAATCGGCAGCATTTTTTCATAACCGAAATTTGTGTGAAAAGGGTCAAAAATTACACATGGGGGTCGAGAGCGTTTTTAAAATCAAAAGTTATTTGAGCCCTGTTGAAAACATTACATCTTGTTCCGGTAGAACAAATCGAGCCCATTTTTGTATATTTGGATTTTTTGAGCAGGGTCAAAACTTTCAAATCTGGATCGGGTTGAGAAAAATTGCGCACATTTTTTTAATCGAAAATAGTTTGAGTAGGAGTGAATATTTTCTCATCTGGCTCAGTTCGAACAAAATCGAGTGCATTTTTTGCCTAGAAAGCCAAACAAAAAGTACACAAACTCAGTGAGAATGTATGATCATACCAAATTACGGTCGAAACATAGGGTGTTCGTACTCGTCAAATCTCAGTTAATTTCCGACAAACACTCAACCTAGAAGATTGTGAGTCAACAATGATTATAATAAATGGCAAAATCAATTGAATTTATATGTTCTCGGATGGTTTTTGGCTGTAATGTGTTCAGGTACGGGGAGTGTCTGAAAGTATGGCCTGACTTCGTGGCCCTGGACACAGACTTCACCAACCAGTGGCCCAGGTATGACCAGAGAGCGTGTGAAAACTACTGCATTGAAGCTGAGAAGTACCGCAGATGTGGATGCGTCACCGACTACTACGGTATGGTTTTAACCTGTGGGCTCTCCTACCACCGTCCTCCTATCCCCACGGGAAGTTTTTATGAGTTTAAATTTACCTCTTAAGAGCTGAATTAAAACACATAAAAATTGTTGCAAATTTTTGGTCTAGTTGTCGTTAGATGGCATTTTATTACGAATCCATAAACTGTGCACTGGATAGGCGCACAATTTTGTGTCTGTATGTTCCTGGATTCCAAAGACAAGTCGTCTTTAAACATGTTAATATTTTGTCGTTAACATGTTAATATTTTGATTTAATAAATTAACTAAAAGCAATATGCGTAAAACTTATGCTTACGGTTGAAATTGATGCTTACAGGCTTGACTCAAATTTTAAATCGAAATTAAGTTAAGCCTGCAAATTCAGGGTTGTTTAAGTAATGCCTGTTTGTTTTTCATCCGTGACCCTACCCTAAGGTTCAGAGAGGTCAATGGGCTACCACTACATTGATATTCTAGCCAGCCATAGCAATCTTTGCTTAGTTAATATCAAATAATAATCATAATAATAAATTGTTTGCAAATTAGATTCCATTCATTGTAAAAGTTACTACATTTACAACCAAACGAAATCTCATTGCTAGAACGTCGTGGAACTATGAAGTCCTTTTTCAGGCGCCTCTAATCCTGCTATGACTTCTGTTATTTTTTAATATCGATAGTTAATCAATAAATCAAAAAAAAAAGATTTAATGATTTAAAGAGGAAAAAAAATTTTGAAGCGAAAACGGGGAAATTTCAGCAGTATACCTACCCTTGACAGCAAATCTTTTTTTAAATACTAACTCTACTCAAAAATGAGTTTAAACAGTTGATAATTTCCTGGAATAAAATTGTCCAAAAACTCATGTTTTAGGATTTGTAATTGATATTGTGTGCAACTCTGAATCTGAATTACAAAATCTGGGTTGTATTTCAGAACACAGTTGAAAAGTTTTCTAATTCTAACTTTTAGAGAAGTTTTTTGATTACCCTTTGATTGCACAGGTATCTGCCTAAGTAAAACTCTCCTATTTAAAATTGTATTCAAATTTTTCTCAGTTACAGCTTCCTGGACAATGGCCGATACGCACTCCTTTCTCAAAACCTTACATAGTAATTTTAATAATTCATAGATATGTAATTCCTTTACGAAGTTTATTTTTACTTTTTTGTCTCAGTTCTTCGATGCTTTCATTTCTTATCTTGAAACAAATAATTTTTATAAGCCGTTTAATTTTAGGTTCAATTGTTTCTAATTTCGTTTTTTCTGTTTATGCATAAGTCAAAACCCTAAACTGTAAAATGGGTTTCGCATAAGCGTTATATGCTTTCAGCAGTTGATCTTTATCTAAATTTTCCTCAACCTGTAATACATCCCCCAAAACCTCGACAATTTATTTTCAATTTTTGTAATATGATCAGTAAAAGAAAGTTTAGAATCAATTTGAACACCTAAGTATCGGAACCAGTGTTTTTCTTCAATAATTATTCCATTCATTTTGACATCTGATTTACCGCTGCTCTTCTTAGATAGTATCATTGTTTTTGTTTTATCTACATTTAAGGTCAGCTTGTGTTTTTTTAGCCAACTTGCTGTTTTATTCAACGTTTCTTGGTGTTTACCGGTTAAGTCACTGTTTCTAGCTGTTGTTTTTATGACAGTGTTGTCTGCATATAAAATCAGATTACTTTCACTATTTTCATTTAGCTAAAAATCATTTATATAAATGATGCAAAGAAGCGGGCCTAGTATGGATCCCTGTGGTACTCCATAATTCACATTTTTGTTTTGAGAGCGTTTGAATTTAGTGGCAACGTATTGTTGTCGGTTTTTTAATTAAGATTGTAGAAGAACAAAACAGGTCTCCGAAAACCATATGCGGCACATTTCTCAAACAAAAGAATGTGGTCAACTGTATCAAAGGCTTTCGTTAGGTCAATGAATGTGCACTGAGTCTTCGTGGCATTAGAGTTCCAATCTTGACGCACGTCTTCTATTAGGGTTATCAAAGCATCAATTGTACACCTTTTTGATCTGAACCCAAACTGGCAGTTTTGTAGTAACTGATTCTTAGTGAGATATTGGTTCATTCTGTTATAAATGACCCGCTCAAAAATTTTACCGACAACTGGTAAAAGAGAAATTAGACTGTTATTTGATGGGTCTAGATCATTGCCTTTTTTGAAAAGCGATTTTTTACTTTGGCAATTTTGAAACTGTTTGAAAAAATTTGTCTATCCAAACTTTTTTGTAAAAGTTTTGTCAAAACTGGAAACAAAACTGGACAATTTTTTTCAAGTAATAGTGATTTAGTCCATATGTATCTAAACTAAATTTAGTTTATAGCGATTCGATTATATTTGAGTTTTTACCTCGCTAGGAGGAATATAAACACACGCAATAATTGTATTTTTTAGATTTTCATCTGTAATTTTGACGCTTAATAATTGAATGTTGTTACAACTTGTTCTTTTTATTATTTCATTATTTATTTATTCCACGTTTTATATAAAAGCATACGGCTGCTCCCCTACGCTTACGAGAACTTTCAATGAGAGGTTGATACTCTTTTATTTTGAAAATTTTGAAAATCTGGTTTGGTGAAAGCCAGGTTTTGGTGCAACATATAACGCTAGTCAAATAATTTAGTTGAATTAGGCTAACTTGAAATACGTCTATGTTTTTGGGTATCGATCTAATGTTTTGCAAAAGAACCTGCTCAGTGGTATTCATGATATACTGCCTTGTGTAACTTTGTTGATCTGAGATAGAAAAAAAACAAATGATTGTCAAAAATCACGAACTCCCTCTGTTGACCTGAAAGTTTTTCGCTTCTACCTCCCTTTATTTCCTACGCTGTTCTTGTATGTAAACAATATCCTTAAACTTGCTGTTTTAGAAACGAAAGGTTTCTTTATTTGCCATGTTTTCAATTTAACTTCTTCACTGTAGAGACCTGAAGTTTCCTCATTTATATCCAAGTTTTACAAAAAAAGATAATTATAATAATCAAATTGAAGCTTGGGTAACTTTTAAATTCAAAATAAAAAAAGTTTTCATTCAGTGTCAACTCCGCGTTATCACAGAGCACACCAAAGTTCATTCGCATAACCAGTCCATAAGCCCTTTTGCAGGCTTAGAGGTCGCGTTATTACAACCAACCTGGAACGCTCGCGTTATCACAAGCAACGCAAATGGAACGGACAGTCTGATATCAATCAGAAATTCAATTTGCCTAACAATATGAAACAAACAAGAAGTTTGGTTTAAATTGTTTCTGACATAATTTGACTTATTTGAATTTTTTAACCAAATTGTGGGGGGAAAATCCAAAAAGTCACTTCCTTAGTTCAAAGGAAAAAAATAAAAGCAATAGTTTAATTAATATAAACAAGTTAAGTTAGTGCAGAGTTGCACAGCGCTTTAGTATCACCTCATTTTATCGTTCGTTTTATCATAACACAAAGTATGAAACACTCAACAAAAAGTTTCAACTCGTGTAACTGATTAGAGTTTATGAGTATATTTGTTGCTTATATATGATTTTTCTTTGCCCTCCGTTGAGACTCTATCGCTGTCACCTTTGCTGCTTTTAATAACCTCAACAAATTTTTTTTAATCGCTTTTGGTTCCAATTTATTAGGATCATCCAAGCTGTTGACTTTTAATACTTTTTCGATCCAATTTCACCAGTAAATGCAACTGATACTATGAAATTGTTGGTCACCGTCTCCAACCCCATTCGAACAGCAGTTGCTTTCATCTCCGCGTAAGCTTTTGCCAATGTTTCATTTAAAATAATAAACTTTTGGTTTATTGGGTTGAACTTTTTTCTGAGAGCCCTTCTGTTTTTCCAGACTTGAGTTTTGTCCTCGAAAAAAAAAATTTGCATATTACGCTGGGAGGGAAAATACTTGTATCACCAGGCAGGTAATGGCATGCTTTTTCACCTTCATACTTAACTGTTATACCCAAAAAACTTTTGAAAAAATTTAGGGTTTCCATTGTTACGTCTCTCACATTGCGCGCATCGTAAGGAGGATTCAACATGGTAATAGTATCTTTTCTTGAATATCTTTCCTGAGCACGCAGTCGTTCCTGCATGTCCCAATGTGTTTTTTCCAACTCTTAAAAACGCAATTGTTGAGCACCCGAAATCATTTTAAGACCAATTTCTTTTTGTAACTCGCTCACCTTAGTGTCACTTGTTTTACGCACGGAACCTCGAGCAGGAGTGGAGCTGACTGACGTTCCCACCAAAACATCTTGTTGATCCACATCCATGATAGATAATCCGTCAAATGAATGTTTAAAAACTAATCATAATAAATTTAACTTGGATAACCAAAATTAGGAGAATTAATAATTGAATAAAGTCAATCAGAAGAAATTTTGAAAGATTTAAGCTCAATTTTTTAAAATCGAATCGACCTCAGGGTTCTTAATAATCAATTACTTTTATCAATGTCAAGTTTTGGGATTGTTTTTAAACGAAAGTTTTGGCCAGAAAGAGAATTCGCAAGAGATTTTTTTTTATTTCAAGTTTCATTTCAAATTTCAATTCAAATTTGTGTCTTTTTTTCTCGAGGTCAGCCGATTGTTCGCTCTTTCGCTTTGATTTGCCAGCGGATGACGGTGACTGGACAGTGGACTGGTGCTACGGCCTCAAAAAACAATTAGTTTTCTAAACGAAAGCAATATTTTTTTCCCTATTTTTTGTTTCAAATTTTTTTGTTACGCTGTATTTTCTACGGTGAGATAATCTAGCCATAATATTCTGCGATCTACTTGTAAAGCAATTGGCCATTTTTGTAGATTTTCATTTGTTATGTTCTGCTTAGATAGTGTACCATTGTGTTCATCGTGGAATAAAACTGCGCGAGAGTGCCAAGTAGCGGTGAATAAAGCGTATCGCAACAACGACTTCGTCTGTCCCTGTGGACCAGCATGTGACGACGAATTCTACTCGAAAGAAGCATCCAGTGCTCATTGGCCCAATATACATTACACCTCCTACCTAATACAGCGACTGAGGAAATACACGACTTCCCCAAGGATTCAGCAATTTCTGGACGCCACTTTATCCAACGAGAATGCATCCATTGCAGACTTAACTGAGGAAATAAGAAGCAACTTTGCCAGAGTCGAAGTGTTTTTCCAGAACCTGAACTTCGAGATAATTCAAGAACAACCCAGGTACACTCTGACCCAGCTCATCACTGACTTTGGTGGGAATGTCGGTTTATGGATTGGCTGGAGCGTGTTGACATTCCTTGAAATTGTTGTCTTTGCTGTGAATATTGTCAAAATAACAATACATGGAAAAATCTGAGTACACATGACTCATTGAGGCTTGCTATGTAGATATCAAAAGATAACAATATTGATTTAACAATCAGTTAATGTACAAATTGAATAAAAAGTGTATTTAAAGAAAATTAGTATCAGCAAATTAAATCATACCGGCCACAAGAGCAGTCCTTTCTCCATAACTTGAAGACGGAAGAAAACGACGGAATATTTCTGATCGTGATGTTTTTTTTCTCCGGACAAATTTCGACTTTTTACCTAACAATTTGTGACAAATTTTTTAAAAGTTTTTTAAAATGTATTGTTCTACTGAGCTCAAATTTTAAAAAAAAATCACCTTTGAGTGTTTTTCGTAAAGTTACGAGTGCTTAAAGATTGTCATGTGAAAGATAACGCGCAATAATTTTGTTGATATTACTGAGTAAGGGGAGATTCAATCCGGCTTAGAAATCGTTCCGAATAGGGTTGAGGTATGCTCTTTAATTTTTTGCCATATGCAAAAGATATCACTTTGTTCTTTGTGTGGGTGATGATTTTCAAAAATAAACTCAAAACATATATTTTAAATTTTTTTTTGAATTTTTTTCAAGTATTTTAACTTAAAAACTGAAATGCAGTCGGAACGAACGTTCAGGGTTTTGCTCTGGTACAAGCAGTCTTGCTCCAATAACGTTTTCATATGAAAAATTTCCAAAAATAACAGTGCTGATTTGTATTATCCGGACAAAACTTTTAACATTTGAAACTTCAAACTCGTATTTCTCAAATCAAGTTAAGATTAGACAAAAATTGATTAAAACAAATGCTGCTTAGAATCGCACCACAACTACTATGATGCAATTTGTTCTGAAAAAACTGCAATCAGAATTTTACACCAAAATTCGGTCATTGTGTGTCACAAGAAACTTCTTGCACATTCCAAAAACAGCAAAATGTTAGAAGAATAAATTATCCAAAATTTTGCAAAAAAAAAATCTTTGAAATATGATTTTAAGCAAATATTTATTTTTTTATATAGTAAAAAAGTATCAAGCAAAATTATATTCCAGATTTCTCAAGATTTTTAGAATTTTTACACTTCTAGAAAACTGTTAGGTTGTGTGAATTGCTTCGTGTGATTTATTTGTTAGTCTAATTATTTCAAATAATTTTAAATCTTAATCAACTGGAAAAAAAAGCAAAAATGCAAAATGAAGCATTTTTGAGGTATAGTTTTGGTTTCGTTTTTCAAAATAATTCTGGTAAAATTCTGGGCATTTTTTGTTCTCTTCTTTTTTGGTCTAAATGTAACTCAGTTTCTGAAAAACGCGTTTAAATTTTTCAATGATTTTTTTTGACCGGTTTTCAATTAGCACTTTTTAAAAGTTTAACAAACATGCAGTTGACGTTTAGATATACATCTGCCAATTTTTTCAAGGCATGTTTGAAAAGTTGGGTATCTTTTCTTCATCTTGCTTAACTCCGGATAACTTAATTGGGCTTTAAGTCCTTAATGACACCTCGTGTGCTATTTTTAGAGCTTTAAGTTTTTGATATTCACGACAACTCCTGAAATACTAGCTGTTTATAAACGCTTCGTGGTTTCATACTAACTCTGCTTTTATTCGGACAAACTTCATGTTAGCCACTACATTTGAATCTATGGACAAAAGTAGCGCAAAAAAGTTTATTTATTTTGTTATCTTAAATTCAAATGTAATACAAAAATTATAAGCATTTTGTGGGCTATTTTTGTCCATAAATTCGAATGTAACATTGCATAGTAAAAATTATGTAATCAATTGCCTTTCAAAATCTTTTTTTTTTGCAAAATAAATACAAATTAAAGGTTTAGACAGAAAAAGTCGTAAAGAGATTGATGCTAAGAGCAGCTTTTTGCGGGCTGAAAATTATTTTTGATACTGCATAATTTTTTTTTCGGATCAGAGCTGGAGATCGCATCTGCACGAAGCTTGTACCACATTTGAGGGTTTTTGAATCACAGTTGCATTGAAACGTAATGGATGGTGGTCTGGGGTTCGGAATTGTTAAGTTTTGGAGAAATGACCTGTCACTTTTTAGAGACGTCACTTCCCAATTTTTGGTTCAAAATAAGAACATGATTGGATATCGCACGGTGTCACGCGATGTCATATCACGAGTTCAGATCTCAACAGGCGGTTAACTTTCCAGATATATAGAAGTTGATTTACTACTCTTTCATCGCTCTCTAATTAAACTGTTGATTATACCTAGTTTTGCTGCCAACCTGTGAAAGGTTATGGGCCCAACTGCTAAAACACGTGGCGAAAGTCAAAATGGACTGATTTAAGAAAAAATTTTGAGAGAGCAAGCTGTAAATTGTTGACACAGTTAAAGTCACAGAAAAGACAACCAAGGAAAAAGTCACAAAGAAGATAGTGAACTGGCAGATAGACAACAGAGCAATTCAAAGAGTCATTGAGACAGGGCATTGAGAGAATTCAGTGATCAGTGAAGTCTGGAGTCAGAAGAAAAGCCGAAAGAAGCAAGCGTGAGAAAGACACTCACACAGAGGAGAGAGAGAAAGAAACAGTGATAGATAGAAACTGACAAACTGTTCAATTTGATAAACGCAATTGATATGTTGTTTTTATAAACTTGTAGATATTTGTTGTTGCTTGGGAAGATCGTATTCCGAGATCTGAACTCGAACTTGATTTAAATAACAGAAGTTCCACAAAAGAAAACACTCCTAAACTTGTATTTTGTTAATATTTTTTGCTACGTATGAAGTATGTGAAGTAGCCTTAGCTTTGCTAAATCGCTGATGTGTTATTCAGTAAGCTTACCTTTAGGTTTTGGATCAGACTTAGGTAAAGAGATACATGATTACTTGTATTATGCGCTGCGATATGTTTGCTGATATAAAATAGACTGAATTTTTGTCATTGAAAAGTACGTGGAACATAAAGTATTTGTTCAGAGCAATAACTTTTAGATGAAAAATGTCTAAGTCAGTGAGAATAGTGTTTTCAGGAAAGGAAGAAGATTTTTTGTACTTTGCAGAGCAATTTGAGGCTAGAATTTATCATCTTTAACTGAATATGGTTATCAATAGAGAGGTAGATGAGAAACTTTTGCACCCAGTGTTAGAAATAAGAAATAAGGCTACTGTAGAACAGAGAGAGGCATCTTTAAGAAAAGGGAGAGAAATTATAGGTGAAAAATAATTGCATGTTTGAAATGAGTTGGTCCAATGTTAAGACAAAAATCTGTTTTGTTTTTAGGACCCTAAAAAAGCAAGGGAAGTACAGATTGGGAAATTTTGTGCAAAAGGTTCAAAATCGCCGAGAGACTGAGACTGCAGCAACTGATTTCAGATTTAACTTCGATAAAAAGAAAACCTAATGAGAGTCTAGTCGATTATATCACTAGAGCTGAAGAGTTGCAGTATAATTTAGATGAAGTAGACGAGAGTTTAAAAGAAAAGATGTTTGTGTCAATCATTCTTAAAGGCCTACCAAAAGAGTTCAATGCGCTTTGTACTTTGGTTAAGTTTAGCAAAGATAATAAGAACTTGAACGAAGTTAAGAAAGACTTGTTAAACTTTGAATGTGATCATAGGAATCATAGGAATGAGAATGATAATACTGAACATTTGTTTATTTCTAGGATAAAAACGTGTTTCAAGTGCAATAAGACAGAATACATAGCAGCTCATTGTAGATCTAAGTTAGTGAATAAGGTTAACCAGTCATCTAATGATAGACCTCCTGTGAAATGTTTCAGGTGCTCAGAAATAGGATACATAGATCGGGATTGTAAGAAGGACTTTGAGAGAAACAGCGTAAGAAACCAGCAGTTGGCTGAAACAAATGAAATTATTTTAGCTTTTTCAACTCAGCCGAGAGAGTCGACGGTGACCTAGTTATGGATTGAGGCGCAACTAGCAGTATGATAAAGGAAAGGAATTTATTTGTTGAGTTGAACCAGAGTTTTAGCGAAACTGTTGAGAACGCTAACAAAACGGAAACTAAGGTTTCAGGTAAAGGAAGAGTTGAGTTTTTTTGTGACAGATTCTCAAGGAAATTCGTACAAAATTTCAATGAGTTATTGTTTCTATGTGCCAGGAAACTCAGAAAATTTAGTGTCTCAAAACTTACTGGAGGAGGAGCTAAAGTAGTTTTTGGAGAAAAGTTAAGTATTGAACAAGGAAATGGTACCGTTTATCCACTTAGTGAGCGAGGAAGTCTTTTTATTTGGAAAATAATAGGATTTAGAAATCACAAAAAAAACAAGTGTTGATAAAAGGCAAAACAATTCTTCAGAGTTCAGAGTCGAAAAGATCGAGAAAGTTAGTGAACAAAATGAGAACTTGATGATAAATGACGATGATATAATGCAAGAGGTTGAGCTGAAAAATGAGTCTAGAGCTCATCCAAAAACTAACACGTCATTAGTTGAACGAGGTAAGGAGGAGTCGAGAAACTTATGCTAGGTTAAGAAGTTTCAGAGCATGGACATGAGGTTAGGTTCAAAGATAGGGGAGAATAAGAAGTTTGAAAGCAGAGCAGGTAAATTGATCAGGATTTTTGAGCTAGGACAGAAAACAAGTGATCTTGCTAACATTGTATGGGACATGGTAAAAGTGAACCTCCATGCTAGTGTGGGCTATGATGTAGTACTTGTTTTGAAAGGAGGAGTGTTATGTTTTGGAGAAATGACCTCTCACTTTATAGAGAAGTCACTTCCCACTTTTTGGTTCAAAATAAGAACATGATTGGATATCGCACGATGTCACGCGATATCGCGCGATGTCTTATCACGAAATCAGATCTCAACAGGCAGTTAACTTTCCATTGATATAGAAGTTGCTTCACTATTTTTTTATCGCTCTCTAATTAAACTGCTGATTATACCTAGTTTTGCTGCCAACCCGTGAAAAGAATTTCCTCCCTTTCAATAATTTGATCATTTTGTCTAAATTTAAGTTTTCGATATTATTTGATTTCCATTATCATACCAACCAGGGGCAGATTTAGGGGGACGGGTTCTCAGGCGGTCGCCGCCCTCTCAGGTATTTGACCCCCTGCCGACCCAAAGGGTTCCCCTTTGTACTATTTTGAGGCATTCATTTTTGGCTGAAGGACCCTAAAATTTTTCTAAAGTGGCCTTTGGCGCCAATATATACCAATTTTTAAAATCATCTCTCACCCTCCACCCCCCCCCCCCTCCTCGAGAAAATCTTGGATCCGCCCCTGATCTCAAATTGTTTTAATTTTATAAGAATTTTTTCCGCAAATACAAAACAAATTGTGGGCAATGATGTGCACCCAAAAACATCGAAATTTTAAATATGGCTTTTTGACTTGTTTTTTTGCAAGTATTTCCGCGACATGCAGAAATTTTGGCCAGAATAGTTTTTCGTTACAATGCTCTGGGAGAACTCGAAGAATACATCGAATCGGATCAGCGTTCAAAAACGCCGACAACGTTTCCTGCAACGATTTAATCAACTAGTAATTCCACAGTGGTATTACCTGTTGATTAAATGAAATGCAAGCCAAAAAATTGAGCATATAAGACTTTTTGGTCAGTCATAATTTTGAAAATTTTAGATGCAGCCGTTGGTCTACTTCGCATCAAAGTAACTTTGAATATAGTTTGGTCCGAAAACCTTTTCTACACCTCTGCGTAAAACAGAGTATAACAGAAACGTTAATTTTCAAAATCAAATATGATAATCTCTCAAATTTAACAAGTTAAATTCATTCTGATTTTAACATAAAGCATTCAATCAATTAGGATCTATGAATCTTTTTAAAATTCTAAGCAAAACAGAAAAAAATCATTCTTTGATCAGAACCAAACAAAAACCAAACTTCAGTTTCTGGTGATCTGAAACTACGTCTTGTGAAGCAGCGGCTTATTAATTGTCTAAACTGTTGTTACAGACAGAAGTGGATTCGAGTGCAGGTTTGAGCCGTGAGTCATGATTTCCTGAATTGTAATGAAAGTATCTAATATCTTGTTTTTATCAGCCGTTGCCAGCGCTGCCTGTTGGGCCATCATTCTCTTTCGCTTCAAAGTCGAGTTCAGACTTTCGTCCAGAAACTGGTTCCTGGAATTTTCCATCATCTGTTTCCGCATTTTCTTCTCCTGACTAATCATGTATTGTCTCGTTCGTTCTTCGCGTGACCAGTACCTACCGACTTTCAACTCGCTCGCTGCTTCGTCGTCAGTAGTCAGACATCCCGAAGCTCTTTCGTTGTTTAATTTCTCAGTCCGATCTCTCAAAACCTTGGCTCGATTTGCTTTTCGATCACTCCATCCACTACTACTGTTTAGTGAAGTATTGCTAGTGTTGACCTTTGCTATGTACCTTGACCCGTCGGGCCGAATTTTGACCTTCCATTCGGAAGCCAAGGTTTCCCTATCTTGTTGCTGCTCATGCAACTTCACAAGTTGCAGGTAGCTTCTATATTGCTTTGCATGTGTAGGAATTGATAACATACTGTCATTTCTTCTAATTTTGCTTCTCTCAGAAAAGCGTTTGTTGAATTCCTGGAAACTGCGTGATGACTTTTGTGCTGCACTTTCTCTTGCGTTCAGGTATTTTCGAGAAACTTCCGGAACATTCTGATTAGTTTTTAAGGGTGTATTTGGAGGCGCCGTACTGCAAATTGTTGCGTAGTCGCGTTCATCCATTACGCTTTCTCGACTCAGAGTTTTCATCTGCTTACGTAATTTTAGAGTTCCTTTCTCTCGAATACCTTTCACAGTTTCAAAATCGAGGTCCAGCTGAGCTCGTCTCTCATCAAAACTCGGACTCAGCATGTTGCAGTTCTCGTTTGCAAAAGTCTTTCGGTTTTTGTCCTTCGCCAATGGTATGTTTTGATATTGATTTGCAGCTTCCCTTCGCATCAAATTTGGTCTTGGCAAAGGGGGCGGGGAAACCGAGCGCCTATTTTCATCTTCCTCGGGTAAAATGTGATCAACATTCTCGTAAACGTTTTCGTCCTCGTCTGTAAAAGGCAACGAAGCTTCGTCTATGCTCATGTTGAACGAATCAGTTGTTGCGTCATCCGGAAAAATTTCGGTTTTAGTCGGCTTTTCTGCAATGACTTTTACAGAAATAACAGGTTTTGAAATTACTTGCTGCTGCTGAGCATTCATCAGTGACGATCTTGTCAGCTTCTTTGCAGTTCCTGACGACACAAAAGGATACTCAGTGTTTTCCGACGAGAAAATGCTCTCGGCTGTGTAGATTCCCGACTCACCAGTGAACGAACGAGTTCGGTCGTGGTCGCCGGTTTCTGACAACGAGTCGTTTCGCACTGATGAATCGCAGTCGAGGCCGCTGTCCTTGTCGGCAAAGTACATTCCAGTCTCCTTTACTCCGCTTCGATCTCTGGTGTCGGCATCTTCTTTCTTGTTTCGTCTCCTTATAGTAGGCGTTTGAGGTTCTTCGTATATGTTTTCAAACCCTTCGCTTCTGGATTCTTCCGCGACTGAGTTGCTGCTTGCCTCGCTCTGATTGGCTGCCATCTCCTCCAATGTCTGTTCCTCCACCTCACAGAGGTCAAAGATACTCGGCTTGGCCTGAAATTCGAAACACATTCAGAGTCAGTCGACATAAACTTTTTTATTTTTTTTTATTTTCGTAACAATTTCATTTTACATTCAATGAAAGTACACTTCGGCGCGGAACAGATTTATTAATTCAGGACTTATTTCACTTCAAAATGACTTCCCAAATCTAACACATAAAATATTGAGAACTGAAGCTCAACTTCAAAATGTATCAACATCTAAATAGATGTCTTATTCAATAAACATTGAATTCTCACGCTGAAGAGAGGTCTTGAGATAAGGAGAGTGATCTTGAGACTGCTGCTGTTCTCGCCATTGCTCACTTCAAACAGTTTCCCGATGTCCGTGGTGTCTGAGACGTCTTTGCCATTGATGCGCACTATCTGGTCACCCATGGACACTCGCCCGTCAATCGCTGCCAGAGAACTATCCTCCACCTGCAACAGAAAATTGAACCTCAAATATGTTTTCAGGATAGCGCATTATTTTGATCTAGTCGCTATACGATCTCTAACAGATCCGTTTTTCAGTTTTTATTTAACCACTTTGATCTCTGGTATATTTACTGTGAGATACTGTGTGAAAAAAGTAACTGCAGGGTTATAAAAAGTTACTCTAATTTTTTTCTGGTGATGAAAAAATGAAGTGAAAAAAGCTTCAAACTTCATCTTATAATTGCATAAAAACCAACACTTTTTTCATCAGAATTTTCTGGAAATCATCTAGTTTTTGCATCGGACTTCGCGTGATATCATCCGCGCATGAAGGAATTAATCCTGATGGTTCCTCCCAAACTTTAATGTGGGTTTATTTCTAAAAAGTTTTTTTTTGGTGTTTCTCTTGGCAAAGTTTTCTTGATAACTTTTTTTTCTTAATTATGAGCAAAAAATAAGAAGTAAGGAAAAGTATTTATTTATTTCCGCTCCTTGTTGCTTATTATTCAGCTAATTTTGAGCTGCGAAAATGCAGATTCTTTAAATAAGTCATACGAAAACAAATCGTACGATTATGATTTTGACATATTATTTGAGATTGGTCGGCTGAAACAAGGGAATTTTTTTTATTGCCATGTATCGAAACTTGGCTCTTCGTGTATCTCATTTTCATACCAGACCAATAAATCTTAGATATAACGCTTGGTCTTGTTTATTAAAAAAAGGTCCAACATTCTATTCAAATGTTTTTCATACCAATGAGTAATACATTCAGAATATGCCATAATTTTCATTCATTATTCACATAATCTAAACATCTGGTATAAGTCGCGTTTACCACCATTCATGAAAAACGCAAAGCATGACTGCACCGGGATGATTGACGTCTGGATGACAAGCTGTTTAGCACAGTCAGATCTGACAAAAGAGCTATCTGAATACATAATAGTTAGGCATTGTTGTTAGTTGAACAAAAGAGACGACTTGTATCAATGTAAGTGTGTGCCACGGGACATGTCCTTAAAAGGTACTTCAGTCGCGATAGTTTTTCGAATGACGGCGGGACGTAATAGTGGTTTGAAACAATTGATTGTGAACAAATCAACAATTTTGCACCGACAAAGACCTCCTAATAGGTGTAAACTTCAGCACTATTAACTGCAGATTAATGATAATGCATGTACCTGGTATGTATTTAATCAGAGTTTTTTGCCGGTTAATGCTGTGTCATTTATACAGGTGTTTTTTTAAAAAGTCGTTTCAACTCAAGGGCAGTGTTGGAGTCTTTTTCATAGCCCCGGCGCTACCCTCTAAACGGTGAGCCCTCCGAGCAGTACTGAAGTGGGGCTCGAAGCGACGACTCTCGCAGTGTTGCCGCTCGCTGATGTTAAATGCTGCAGAGCCGCCTTTTTAGATTTAAACTTCCATGTTTTAACATGGAATTGAATATGCATTTAACATGAAATTTAACAATTTAATTTGATCGCTTTAAAAAATGTCTACAGATTTCGGTGGTCTCACATTCCATTGATTTTATTGAGTCCAAAACGAATGAAAAATTTTATGAACATTTGAAGATTTTCCGACCTTCTCAGGTTTATACCAATGAAACGGACGAAAGTAGCATGATTTGAATAGTTTGCGGGGTAGTAATGTGAACTTGGCTGACCTTGCTGACGAACAGTTGTGAGAAGGTGGTGTTGGGTGCCCCCTTACACACTGTGATGCCCAGCTTCTCATCAGGGCTACTCTTCTCCAGCACCACTTCCTAAAACAGGGTTTAGTTTGTGATCAAACGAAGGCGAGTTTTTTCTCAAGAAGTGTCTATTGAAACTATCTATAACGATAATTAGGTTGTTTTAAGAAATTAAATTAACGGTAGTCGGTTCGACCAAAAATTTTTGCTTACGCTATTTTTCAGGTAACCTGGAGCTGCATTTGATAGAAAATTTACCTCAGTTTCAATTTAATTTATTTGTGTGAGGGTAGTTTTATCTAAAATTGTTATGCGTTTCATTGTTTAAAAGTTTTCATGTCGTTTAAGAAATTCGAATCACTTTCATTTGGTATGCGAGTTATTTTGATTTTGTCCGGCGGCCGGAATTAATTAAAAAATAGCTGAAAGTTTTTGCAACCGGTGCCGCCAACCAAACAACCAAAACCAATCCTACTATATGAGCTTCATTAAATATTGTCTAAATTTAACTCGTAAATTTTTTGCTTCGCTGATTTCAAGCACGCTTTATTAGGTTGCCCCACATGAGCAAAATTATATCACCATGAATTCTTTCCGAATACAATCTTGCTAAGGCTGGTTTTGGTTCTAAGTTACCAATTCATTCTTTTTCTTTGCAAACTACTGTTTTTATTGCTCTTCGTATGTTGTTGTACAATTAGCCCAGCAGTTGTTTGTGCAACTAGGCTTTGAAAGCTCTGGAAATTGAATGTTGCCAGTTTGCTGTTGAACTGTTTGGATCGCCGTAAATCGGTACGTTCTCCAGACTTCGGAGCGCCTTCCGGAGCAAAACAAACCGGGTTTACGAGTTGCCAGAAATGGCTTAGACAGAATAAAGTCTGCTCTTTTGAAATGTTTTAAGTGCTGTGTTTGTCACAACCAAGTATACACTTTTTGGGGTCAACATTGTAAGGGAAGGCTCGTCGCCTCGGGTTAAAAAGGAGATAAATGGGACATTTGTTCATCTATCAAAAATCACCCAACTACTTTAAATCCAGGTGTGCTTAACTTCGGTGATCGGACGAGAACGGGTGCATTCAACATGAACATGGTATAGTCGTAGGCTAAAAATCCAGGCCATTCCGCAGGTGCCTAAATTTATGATGAATGCAATATTTTTGGATTAAGCTTTGAGTTACCACTACTTAAACAGTAGACTTTAAAACCGACAATTATTAAACCATATTTGTTAGTTAGTTCCAGGCGCCGGCAACAAAAATGAAACAGATCGAAACTAATCACTAATTAAATCTCGAAAGGTGTTTTTGCAGTAAGTTAAATAGAACCACTTTGCAAACTGGTGCAAAGAGCCTCTTTGTAAATGCTGAGACGATTTGAAAACGCTCGTCTGTTAGAAGTTTAACAACGAGTCTTTTTTGATTGTTTTAAGTGCAGGGGTCAGTCACCTGTTGACAGAAGTCCACAGACAAAAGAAAACAGCCATTACAATTTAAGCAAAAGTATAAAAAGTCTCTTTGAATGAAAACAAAAGCAGTTTGAAAAGCGAAAAAGAAAAAGAAATGCGTTTCGGTAAAAAAAAAACAATTCAGTGTTAATCAAAAGAGAACTTGGATTTTCAGAATAACTTCAAAAAATACTCCAATTGTTTCCATAGTAGTAACAAATGATATTCAGACTGATGAACTGCATTTCAGTTAGGTTTAGCGAGTGTAGTGCAGGGACGGATCTAGGATTTTCTCGAGGGGTGGCGGATTTTCAAAAAAAATGTTCAAAAATATTGTCGACCATTTTTTTTTAGATCTACCAAATTGATTTTGCGAGCTCTCCCAAATCTACATAAAAACACCGGCCCAAAATTCGCCAGTGGTGTAGTGTATGTTCATTCGGACCTCGTATTCAAAGTCGTAGTTGTTGATCTGGAGGAGACTGGCGATGACGTCATCGGAGGCGGACAGGCTAGAGTCCCCGGGGGTGGTGTTGTCCTGCTGCAGTTGCTGGTGGAGTTCATGGTCCAGCAGTTGGGTGTCACAAGTGATGGTCTCGATGTCAGTCATACTGCCCCACAGTTCGGGATCATCCACGAAAGAAGGCAGCGGGGGCAGGTCACCATCGTACCAGCTGGAGAAACAGAAATTTGATATACACAAATCAAAGCTCTTGATAAAATTTCTTATACCCAGATACATCTTAAAAATCTCAGTAAATTTCCTTTTCGAACGCTACGTTTAAATTTGACAAATATGACCGCTTCGATTTCTTGTAAATTTAAATAGTTTAAAAATATATAACATCAGATGACCATTTCCAAGGCTATTCAGAGAGACAATGCGAGTTTTGCTATGTTCCTTCTTCTCTTGAACATGTGGACCGTATTATCATATCTCATTAGAGTTTCATAACTCAAAAATGTATCAATTTGTTGGCAGGTCATGCAGGCAATTTCGGCTCATTGGCTCATTCATCGGAAAGCACTTACTCGGATGCTGACAGAAAACTCAAGTAGGGATCTGTTTGACAGGCCACAGTTGAACTCGCACAAACTCTAATTTTCTCTTTCTGAGAATCAGTCTGCATTTCATTCTTAGAAACCGAACCGTTTAAACTGTTTGCGAAGTCAGGGGGTATTACATGTCTGACTATTGTGAATTGCACGGGGTCCAGACTGTTCTTAATAATCTGAACTGCTTCTTCGTGAGTTGAACCATTCAGGTCGACGTTGTTGACCTAAACACAGCTCACAAACTTGCACTATTTTCTATCATATAAACTTCTAGACTATTCTAGAAGCATCAGCAGTTAGAGACTCAACAATTTTTTAGAAAGAAACAAAATATTTTAATGAAATAAACTGTTTTAAATTTTCGATCCAATTTAGAAGATTCTTAAATCTATGCCATGAGTCAAACGTTGAGACATATGTTCTTGTTGGATTATTACAAATATGGATCAAATTTATTAAAAGGAATAAATTTGTTTTTCTGCGACAAATTAACGCTTCGATGGTAATCCCTCGACATATTTTGAAAACAATAAATTTCTGTTGCCAAAAGTAAATCACAATCACTCATTAGAAGCAGATTCAAAAACATGAAATCATTTCTTTACTCTGGAGCTGAAAATAGATTGCAGTTCAAGCTTTGCTATAGATTTCCGTCTTTATCTTTGAGTTGGGAATTTGGGAATTGGTTCGGATATTGATCACCCCCAATTAGATTGATTTGAGATGTCTGTCAAAGTCACCAACACCTCATTTTGTTTGCTACCAAGCTCTGTTTAAATAAAATTGTCTTAATCTGCTCACATTTCTACAGGAAGATTAATTTTCTCATTCTGTAAAATGAATTAAAATAGTACCAAAATGTTTACAGATAGATTATTTAAAAATCACTAATTTGTCAAAATGGGGAATTTTAGAAGCCAAACGCAGCCCTCGTGCAATAACTCGACCAATTTTAGCTTTAGCTCATTAGTTTATTGGTATAGGAAATTGGGAAAAATCACGAATACCCAGAACAATATCATTTCCTTGGGCTGTCAATATCAGCATGGGAAAGAGATATCAAATTTCCGTTTCTCTTTAATTAGCAAAGTATTTCGCTTCATTTTAATTTCGGGCCAAGTTTTTTCATTAGAAAAAAAAATAAATTTCAATTCAAAAGGCTGAGATTGAAAAGTAATGAATGACTGTACTGTGGGAAGCGGGGAATGAAAAAGTACTATAAATATGAGTCATTTATGACATGAGAGTACCTGCCTGTCATCGATCTGCGAAATTGTCTGACTGTCAATCAACTTAACTGTCACCGTCTCCCCCTATCACCTTTGAGTCATTCTTGCTTCTATTTCCCCTTTTGCAAACCCATTTGGCAATCTCTTAATTTAAGACCCATGCCATTTCTTGACCCTATCCCTTTTCCTTGCCAATCAAAAATATGAGAAAAGTACTCATTTCATTGATAGCCCCAGGAAATGTATCGCCAGTCACGAAATTTGCGGTTGGAAGCATATACAACACAACAACACAAAAGAGAAGAGAAGCCCATTGAAACAAACAATATGGGTGGTACATTAAGGGTACTTTTAATTCAAATCTCCTCCCATAAAAACTCTGTGAGTGGAAATTACCTCTCTCAAACAATTTGCTTCTCTCAATTGCGATTGCGCAAATGGGAATTAGATGTTAAAAGTACAGTCACAATTTCCCCAATGGGCGAATAGGTGTCTCGAGGCGTGAAATTTTTCAAATGGATATATTACGGCTCACAAAAGCATTTGTTTGTTCGCATTTTTGTTTTTTAAATGTTTTGTGCTCCGTGTGACTAATGTTTTTTCAGCAGACAATAGGGAAATTAACATATTTTTGGTGTAATTGGGGCATGAAGAAATTGCCCACCCCCTTAAAATGGGTATTTTGGCTTATGGGTGTGTTTAAATGGATTTGAGTAGTTTATTAAAATTGACCGGTTAAAATGATTTGCGTCCCAGTTTTTTTGTGACGCCCCATTAAATTTACAGAACTAATCATACTTTTTAAATAATGAAGAAATAAAACTTTCTCAATTCAAAAAACTAGGGCGACGATGATGTTCACTAGCATTTCAGAGGATCGATCGTTGTTTCCTATTTGCAGTAACTAGTTAAGAATTGGAGTGAGGCTTGGCGAACAGTTAGCTTCGCCTCATTAATTTCAGATGTTTTTTTTGACCATGCACATCACTTCAGTGATTTCATGAATAGATATAAATTATAAATTTTTGTAACAAATGTCAGAAGCGTAAGATTTTATGACTTCAGGAAATTCTGCCTCGTGGTTTTTATTTGCGTTGCAAAAAGAGGCGTTGACCATGTTTTGAGCAAAAAATTGAAGGAATTTTGACAATTGCTGACAAGTTTTGTTTGGTTATGTTATTTCATCAAATACTGGAAGTGTTTGAATTACCATTGCTGCAGCCAAAATCAATATTTGAGTCGCCTGACGCTTCCATTATGTTCCATTAGTTTTACTGCTGATACAACACCAACTAATTTTACATGAAAGCAGCATAGAAAATAATCAATTTGAAAAACACTTAAGACATAGAAGCAACAGGCCGATCTATCAAAAAAGAAGATATCAAAAATTTCTTTGAAAGACCTTTAGAGACCCTTTCAAAAACAATTGAAACAAAAATCAAAACCAAAAAACTCTTTCAAAATGTCGTCTGATCCATGATTTTCCATGTTATTTTTCTGCACCTCAAAGTATCTTTAGACAAGGATGTGATTATTGAATCCTGAAAAATGATGTCAGTCATGATAAACTTCACATTAGTATTATTAACTTCATTATATTCAATAAAAAATGACAAAGATGAAAATTTTGCTTTCTTTTTTTTTGTAAAGTTGAACGAAATAAACTCAGATTATGAAGAACTTTAGTACTTCAAATTTGTTTAAAGGTAACAACTGACCTTGATGATTTGGTCATTCAACTGGAGCTGGGTGAGTGCGAGAGTTGCAGTCTGAAGGGGACTGTGTTGAGGGGATCCCTGGATACTCTGGCCAGACACCTTGGACACGAAGATGGGACAGGACAGGTTGTCTTCCTGAAACACGGGGAGAAAACTTTAGATCAAGAGAAATCTTAGTTAATAAACGGATTATAACTGTTAATAAACGGATTAGTTTATAATGTTGCTAGATTATTTCGCCTTTGTTTGGATGGAAGTGTCATCTCATTAATATGGATCTCTTTTTTTTCAGCTCTTTCAGACAAAAAATGTTTTTTCTTCGAACATAATCAGACGGTGGGTGAGTAACACCAATAATGAATTTGTGACACAGCGGTTACAGAAATTCAACAATGATTTATTGCACTGAATGCATAAGAAACGTAGAAGGAAAAGAAGTAAACTAAAACCCTCTCGTACCCTGTGTCCTCCTGAGATGTTGAACCCGAATGAGCCGTTCTCGTCTCTGAGCAAAGTCACTTCAAATGTCTCCGGCTGATCATTTGCGTCATTCGAACTCTAAAAAAATACATTTTTACACTGTCTGCCCAGAAATCTAAGTTAACATTATAAACATAGAGGTTCGAGCTTCAAAGTGATTCTTCAGAGGAGCAAAAATTGATTTCGAAAATCTGCTTCTTCAAAAAAAAAGATTAAGAATCAGAGGAAGCAAATTAACTTACGCCTTTCAAATTTCTTACTTTATCAATAATCTTCACAATTATTAAGCTTGCTTGAATTGCTCAGACTGTATAAAAGGTGGCAATATGATACTACAGTTTTTCACACATTCAAATATATCTTCAAAAACTTACAAAAAAAATCAATTAAGACCTTAAAAAACGGGTCAATGTAACATTCAAGCAACTGCTTTCGTTAGAACCCCTATCTTGTTTCCTAATCTAGCAGCTACAAAAGTATATTGCAAAAGTACCTGTTGCTTTTCTTCGTGTGTCGCCATGTGAGGGCTCTTTGCAAAGTATAGCTGTGAGGTGAGGGTGTTGATCTTGGCCTGGTAGTGGACTGCCTGCACCTGTGCCTCATTCTGCAGAGTGGCCACTTTGCTCAGCAGACTCTTCTCCCGCTTCGAGTACTTGCTGTGTCTCGTCTTCACCTCCGTCTCCAGTGACGTCACTCGCATCTGAAGACCCTGGATCAGTTTGGTCACGTGGTCCACACAGTCGTGCTGCTTCTTCGAATCACCGACCACCAATAATTTCACACTCTCCGAGTTTAAATGGCTCAAACAGTCGTGGTCGTTCAGCACGCCACCGAGGTCTTTGTTGACGGATTTGCTTGGCAGAGGGTAGTCGTTTTGGGTTTTGGCCATCATTGCAACGCCTTCGTTAAAAAGCTGCTTGTCGTTTAGCTTCGCAGCCGATGTTGCCGGCATCGTGGGCAACTGCATGTTCAAGACACTTCGCTCTTTGAGAGCAGTTTTGGACGATAGGATCCTCATGATTTCCAGTCCTGATTGCTCTCGAGTCTCCGGAGCTTCAAGACTGCTCAATTTATCAGCAATTTCTCCCGATATCGATAGTTTTTGCACATCGATCGGGAATTTCAGGCAAAAGGGGCAGGTCTTTTTTGAAATTATGTCGGGCAAAAGGCAAGGCGAGCAGAAGTTTTTTGTGCAACAAGGTGTGAGTAAGGGCTCTTTGAGTAACTCGTTGCACCGCAGACAAATAAGCTCACTTGCGATGAATTTAGCCGATATTAGTTTACTGCAAGTCGACTTTTTACTAAGTGAATTTGAGGCGGGATTAAATTTTTTGCTTCTACCCAAATTAGAGGCGGGGTTGTAATTCGAATCTGCAGTGCTGGTTGGCGGGTATTTTAACTGACAGTCTTTTTGGGCTTTATTGGCGCATGTCACTGATCCGTTCTCAGGGCTGTTTGCCGTTGATTCACTGCTACTGACAGCTCGCACTGCTTTCACTGGTTGGCTAATAAAATGCGAGGGAGTAATTTTTGAATGGGAAAAAGAAGAGCTGCTATTGTCGCCCGTGTACACTTTTTCACTTGTGCTAGTCTGCTGAATGGGATGATGGGCGGAGCTAGAGCAGAATCGTGTTGAGGTATTATTGGGCAGGTCTGTTTTTTGTTTAAGTGTGTTGTCTACTCCACTGCTGCTCGTATCCATACTTTGCAAAAGTTGGCAATTCTCTCGGGATTAGCTGACAAAAAGGGGGCGGGATCAGGGATGTTTAGTCCCGGAAAATTATGATTAGGGGTAGTATAACTAATTCAGAATATGCAAAAGTGTATTTATCTAAATTGAGACCACAACTTTATAATCTGTTTTGAACATTTAGATATATCCACTTTTTATTTTGTAACAAACAACAATATGCTTTCAGAATGCTAATTTAGAAAATAATATATTTGTCGTGATGTCCAACTGGCGCAGTTTAAAAAAGCAACAGTGCCACAAATGAAACACAGGAAAATCACAGATTTATTGTAAATCCTACCGAAATCAAAAGAGGCGGCGAATAATGCCCGAGAACAATGACTTGATTTTTAAATTCTGGCTGATAGCTGCCTGTCAAAATAGAACGAGGCATTCATAATTAATGAAAGAAATATACTCAAACAAGATGCTTCCAACGAACAATTGGGATATCTAAGCACGGCAGCACCAGCTATCCAAATTACTTAAGCGACGCGGGGTTCTTGGTACAATTTTGGATAATATCGACAATCGTTTCACGAATCGAATTTTATAAATCGATCTATTTTCCAAAATTCACCAAAGGAAGGGAGAAACATAAGAAAATTTGACCACAATAAATTTTATGGCGTCTGTTATGGAATAATAAATAGGAGAAGCGACACGAATAATGGGCGAGGAATAATTTTGAGCGGCTAAAACTGAATGTGTGACAAAAGATTGCTTTCTTTTTCAACCACGTTTCAATAATTCAAGTCTCAAAATCAGCTTTCATTCCTCGCTCAATCGTACCAAGTCTTGCTTGTCTGATGAATAATGAAAAAGTACCACAGGCATCCGTCTTTCAGTCGTCTCGAATTTAAAAAGATCCGCCAAATAGATGTTTTAGAGGCAGAAAATAAAGGAGCACGGTTAAGCTTAAGTTTTTTCTTCAATATTTTGTAAGTATTGAATCACCCAGATTATTCATACATCATAAAATTCCGCAATAAAATAACAATTTTGTAGCAATGCAATCAAGCCTCTGTGATAAACAAGATAAAAATCCAATTTAAGCTCAAAATAAAGATGGTTTTGTTAATCCGGTCCAACTTATACACACAATTTACCAGATGATGGTAAAAACAGAGATCGTCTGCTCAATTCTGATTGGTTGAAACGAAGCTGAAACGAAATGGTAAACAATCAAAATTATTTTTAAACAGATGACAGCCAAATCAATGACGCGACCATCAAACCCTGGATAAGTCTAGACGACTTGAACTAGTTTTTTTGGTAAAAATTGAATCTAAATTTGAGAGAAATCTGGAAAGAACTTCCGGGTAATTTCGAGTTCATAGCTGAAAAAATGTACTAACCCCAAGCCTTAGAATCCGCTAATTCTGAATGGGTATTTAGTTTTCGTCTGATTAGTTTTGGTCCAACCTTACCACAATTTGTTATGATTTCTGAAGATTTTCGGGCAATTTGGACCCGGAAATACTGTTTCTTTTAGTTACTGTGTACGAAATGTACGGATAAGTACATAGTTCAGTGGTTAATTACCTCGGGCAAAAAGCATGTCAGCAAGAGTTTGTTTTCGTAAACAAACTGCGCCAAGCAGCGGGCAAAAGCTGTGGAAAAATCACATGGCCTGAGAAACAAATTTACCCTTTATTTGTGTGGTTGAATTTCCAAAATCGAAAATAGCCTCAACTAAATGGCATGAGCCAAGCCTTTTAAAAACATACAACTCCGTTTCCCATAGGTAGTGTATCGAATGAAGAACTTCGGGCATTTTAGTTGTTGATATAGGTCTAAAAGTTGTTATTTCTCTGACTGACTTATTTTTCTGAACTTTTCCCAATTAACAAGTCAGTTTAAAACTCTAAACTCAAAAGGGCTCTCAAAGAAAACTATTGAAGCTTCTGATCAGAAACACCAAGAAAAACCGCGATTTGATTTAATTTGTTCGCAAGAACACGGAAAAGTTTCTCGAGGACTTCTTTGGTTCAAACTCAACAACGTAGGTGTTTCAGTTCCAGTCAAACAAAGTCCAGGAAAAAGTTTCTTGAAGGTCGCTATTTTTGTATGACCGATTGGAGTTCTGAAGAAATAAATTGGTAACTGATAGAACCAAGAAAAAATTTGACAGAGAAATTTTCTCTGAAACAAAAGAGTCACTCATCCACCGCTGAGTGACCATTTCTATTGAGGATTTGAACCGCAACCACCTAAGCAATGTGACTATAGCTTGTACATCACTTGATACAAAAAGCAACCTGGACTCAAAAATTTACACTTCCAGAATTAAATTCTAGGGTTCTTTTTACTTTTCCCTCCACCTCTTAAGCGGATCAATTTTATAGTGTAACGTAGGGAGTGGATCTAGTGGATCTTTTCTCGAGAGGGGGGAGGGTGTGTTCTGAATTGAAATCAGAAACACAATTATTAAATTTTTACCATATGTTCTTATTTGAAATTATGTGTTTGCTCGGTTGATAAAATATCACCAAAAGCAAACATTACAGCATGTGTTGTTTCTTTCTGATTGGTTTAACCAACAGATGGAATGTTGAAAATATCAAAATCTACGGTATATAAGCCAAGCGAAAATATACCAAATATCACTTCATCACTTTCTCAAAATCTCAACTCTCACAACCACTCTCATACTGAGACCCCCAACCATCCTAATAACCAAAATCTCAAATCTCTATCTCGATAACCATCAATCCATACCCCAATGTCTCTTGATATAAAATTGATGTGTGTCATCTATGTTTGAAATAATATACCTATTTACTAGTGAAAGAAACTTTGTCTGTTGAATAAGAATAGGAAAGTCTTAGCAACATTCAGAAAGACCCCTTGTTCTAACTAGCTGCCATTTGGTCGATCGCATAAGTTAAGTCAAGTTAGTTTGGAATAATTGGTGCGACCAGTGAGGCACACAAGTTTCAAAAATTCACTCAATTTTCAAAATCTCAAAAAACTGTGATTATCAAAATTTCAAAAAGTTGAAAATTTCAAAAGTTGAAATTATTAAAAATTCAAAAATTGAATTTATCAAAATTTCAAAAAGTTGAAAAGTTCAAAAATTGAAATTATAAAAATTTCAAAAAAATGAAAATTTCAAAAGTTGAAATTATCAAATTTCAAAAAGTTGAAATTATCAGAAATTCAAAAATTGAATTTATCAAAATTTCAAAAAGTTGAAAATTTCAAAAGTTGAAATTATCAAATTTCACAAAGTTGAAATTTTCAAATTTCAAAATTTCAAAACTTTAATTTGGATATCTTAACTTGAAAAAAATAAGATGGCCGATCACCCAATCACCCATCCTAACTTGTCTTTTGTATCATTCTCAGGAAATGATTCAGACCTAAACGCAAAAGCCTTTTGGACTTCAGTTGAGAATAAAATTGTGTTCTCACTAGGGCAACGACCCACAGACGCTGGCGCTCAGCCTAACTATGATCACAGACAAAAAGTTTGTTTGGATCTCTATTAACAGAAACAGCTCTTGAATGGTATACTGATGAAGTAACTAATGCTACTGCTTGGGCTGAACTAAAAAAAACTTTTCCTAAAAAGATTCACTGATGGTAGAGATCGATTCAAGCATTGGTTCAAGCATCGTCTTAAATAGCAAATAAAACCTCTCCCAACGGCCGTAGACACGTGCCAGTAAAAAACAAATACGGCATAGTATGGTATATTAATTATCACTGAATAGCCGGTTTTGCTAAAACCTGTCTTAAACAAATAAATTTTTTCAGAATCTGATCTATATTAACCAGCAAAAATCAGCCCAGAACCATTCTTTAAAAAACTTTTCAACCTCCAAAACCTTCCTCTGATACTTCTCAGCAATTGCAAAAATCAATAAATTTGAAAAATAATGTCTAAAATCACCGATCTGGAAGAAGGTGAATTAATGGACCTTGATCAATCAACGGACCAAGTAATCGATGATTTGCTGAAAGTAAGTATAAATTCTTTTTTCCGCCGCTGTCTAGAACTAAAATCTTTTTAGTTAGCTATATACACTATTTTAATTTTTCCCCAACAAATCTGCGCTTTTAATCCAAAGGACAATCTCTACGCTAATACAGCAAAAGATCTAAAAATTGCGCATTTTGATTGTCAACTAATGACATCAAATAAAATGTTCTCACTTAATAAAGTAGCTCCCTGCAAAATACAACCTGAAAATATCGAATATACAACAGCCGAGGTTACTCTTTACCAACGGCATTATAGTACAAAAATTAACGCGACAATGTGTCGTGTAAAACACCAATCTATCCGATGGTTTTGTGATTCTTTCGATTCAAGCGAAATAGACGCTCGCCAAAATATAATCACAACTGATATACACATTTCCCCTGATATTTGTAAGCACGCCGCCGAACGGGGATATGTTAACATAGGATACTCAAAAAATATTCCTTTTCGCTTCGACGAAAAAATCGTCTCAAATACAAATAGAGGCAAAGTTGATGGCGAAAACCACAACGAATGCAGCGATCGTTCTTGGATCCATTTGGATACTTTCGAATCATACAAGCAAAATATTTCCTTAACTGTCAATCTAAAAGATGGCACCGTTAATAACTGGCAAAACATTCCATTACCTTGTCCTGTATATGAAAACGGATGTGAAACAACATCACTCGACCCTTTTGCATATACTTGGAACGCGCCCAAAAGCTGCATTTTTTCGGTTCTCAATAAATTCGAATCAAAATGATTCGAAATGAAGAAAATCATTATATTGTAAAAAAACTCATTTACTAAAATATCCAACCACCATACTCGAGGTAGAGACACTCAACAATTTATGCTAAAAATACTAGAAAAAACCACAATCTTTATGTGGACACCCAAAAATAGTCTACCCGACCCAATAAGAATCATTGTTCATAGCATACCAAAACGATTTTAATATGGATACTGGTTTACAAATAAACCCGAGTGCTAAAACAGGAATTATTCATTCGGAACCAAATTTGACTTACGTAAAATACGCAAAAAATTAAAATTATCCCTTTGCACCGGGACAAAGAGACTACGAAGCTCATCTAGGAACAAAACTAGATTATATTCTTTTTCGAAGCTTTTACCTGCTTCGAACTGCCGAATTGGCACTTTTAACGAATCAATGTAAATTAGAACGCTCCATGATTCTCAATACTTTAATGCTCTCTATCGAAAGCCCGCGTTTAGCCGGCTATATTTTGACCCGAAATAGGTCTATCTTTTTAGAGACCAATGGCAATGTTGCCTGGCTCCACCACTGCCCAAAATTTTATTCTCCATTACAATTAATGGATGCATGCTATAATCGGATAACAATTATGTATCGCGAAAAAATTCATTTCGTCGACCCAATCACTCGACAAACTTTTAAATCGGCAGATCAACAAGACTGCTCCGATAAGCATTTGAATCTTTATCAACTAGATGTTGATAACAATAATTCTTGGATCGAACTCACACCCTCTATTACTAGAGTAAAAGGTCCAGATCTTTTTACGCCGAAAGAAATTAAGCGGCAAGTAAAACACTATCTTGCATCTAGTTATGATGCTTCTATTTACACTTATGCACAAATGCAAAAATTTTGGAGCATGATTACCGATCACTCTGAAAGGAAGGGTATTTTACAAAAAGTATCCCAAACTTTTCTTAATGCAAGAAAACACTTCTATCTGGACTCGAGTAGTCAATACGGATCTACGCAAAACATATACTTAGACTATCTTATCTCGCCTGATTTTTGGAAGAACGAGTACACTCGTGTTTTTGGTACAATACAGTACTATTTAGAAAGATGCGGAATAATATTCGCCTCTTTCCTTTTCGTCAAGTTTATACTCGACGCACTTGTATTTGTAATAAAAGTATTACACATACACAAACTAACCGGCCGAACTCTTCATTTCGGAAAAATTATGTTAGCCGCTTCTTACAATATACTTTTCACTTCTATAGTGACTTCAATATTCGCTCAAAATGAGAACGATCAAAATATTGAGCTTGATCATAGGCCTCAGGCACCTCAACAAGAGGATTCTGAAAACGAAAATCAGGATAAATTTTATCCTAGACTCCAACTAGTCGATAACAATAATCGACCCGCTGTACCGGTCTAATTTTTTTATGTTTTAGGATATGCCCACTGATCTTCTTCAAACTCCACTTGAAGAAGATTTGCTCGATTTCGAAAACCTTCTGTCTCTAAATGACCCAATGGAAATGCCATCCGAAATAATCAACCCGATTAATCAACCAAAATTTAATACCAATTTTAAAATTTCAAAAGTGAAAAATTCTAATTGCATTCAAAAGAGAAAAGCAATTGCCCGACCCTTCAAAATTCCCCCCTCTTCTTCAACTAGGCAAAACCTAGAATCTGAAACTGTAATAGTTCACCAATCCGCAAACTCTCTAGAACTTGAATCAAAAAGAAACAAAACCTCAGCCCCAGGAAACCACCAAATTTTGACACCAGTCTAAATTATGCGCTCTCTTCCTTTATTAACCGATTTAAGATAGACGCCTATCACCCTTACCAAAACGGTAACGGTGCATACCGTCTGGTTAATCCTCAACTCCCCCATCAACATATTTGTGTTCCT